GCGCTGAGTACTTTCGTAATTAGGTAGGTATACCTACATCGCAAACAATATCCTAGCTAGTAGTTAATTCAAAATAAGTCTTCATTTCGGGTTAGTTTCATAAAACCCAAATTGCTATTTTAAGACTAGTTATGATCAACACTTCGTTAGTGTGACTGAGATAAAATGTAGTCCCTTCTCCAAACCAACGATTAATTTCATGAAATTTTTTAGCTAATAAGGCGCCAAAAGTTAACAAACATATTGGCTTTACATTTTATAATATTAACATAGTGAAAGGAAGAACTGGTGTTTCAATGCTTTTGGAATGTCCCGAATGATTATACAATAATTCGTGACGCATTATTCTGAGTAGAGGTATTCTTTGGAGTAATAGGTAGGAAGGAGTTATGTGAGCTCCCTGTCGTGGTTTTTCCAAAAGACTACAGCATGGGGTTCTTTAAAAGGGGGGTAAAGAGGTTTTTTCAGGGTCGGCAACGCGTCCGTAATACCCCTGGTATTGCAGGCATTCATAGGCTACGATATCCGCTTACCATCAGGTGAACTATAAAAGGAGTTTTTAGACTATGACCATTATAGTAAAATATGCCTACAACTGCCTTTTACTATCGCAATGCTCGCCATCGGTAGGTAATCTATTCTTACCTCCAAAGGAAAAAACGGAAGCTTGATGATTTTATACGGAACCCTGAAGTCTGAAGTCTGAGTCCGACTCAACGACTCTTGATCGACTTTTGTTTTAACTGAAAACCGTAGTATTCCGTAAGGCGACAATGTACTCGTAAACTGTCCTCACACCTTAAAATCAGAATCCCGCGAACTTAGGTTGTGGAATTATCTTCCTACCGATGCATTTCATAGAAACTACAGCATGGAGTGCTCCAAAAAGGGTGTATAAAGTTTCTTAAAGGTCGGCAAAGCGTGCGTAACAAACGAGCTGTATGCTTATTTGCCACCGTAGTAGGAAAAAAAATATATATATAGCTACAGATTCCCCAGATTTTTCACTGTACTATCCATAACTCTACGACCTCATTACGTCCTCATTTATCGTCTCATTACAACCAATTCTCTTTGCTGCAATTGTTGCAAAAAAATCAAACCTAAAGGTTTGACAAGAAAAACTACTGAAGCTAAAGCTTCAGTAGTTTTTCTTGTGTAGATCTGATCAGTCAGTAAGTTAGGTTTTTTATTTGAGATTGAATGAGGTAATCGGTTAGCAATAAATCACTGTCTGTCTTTTCTCCATTAGGAAACTCAAATGTCTGTATATAGTCAGTATTTTTGGTGTGATTTTAAAGTATTTAGATATATTTTTAGAAACAAAATTTGAGATTAAAATATCATGACCATCATTATAGCGGCCATTATCTGTAACTGCTGAACATAGGCTTCCCCCATAGATTATCATAAGGAACGGTCCTGAGCTACCTACATCCACTATCTCTCGGCGATGCATTTGCGGTCGGCACTCTATCTAATGGGGGGGTCATCTTACACTGCGTTAACCTGTATGAGATCACCACTCAAGAACCTTTCTTCTTCGTTAGTTGTGTGTTCTTCGAGCTATTTATGTGATCAGGCCATTGCCATTTCATTTTGCCTATCTTCTGGGCCATGTCGGTTTTTCTATAGATATCCTCATTTCGGATTCTATCACGCAAAGAAACTCTGAGCAGAGCTCTCTCCAATTTGAGGCTTTTGCATACTGGCAACCGTGTAGGACCATGTTATTAAAATATGCATAGGTAGGGAATAAAATTTTCGCCTCTAATCTGTGACCTATAAATATTAATTTTACAAACTTTTTTTTCCACTTAGCTTCCGCTTTGGGCCGTGGATCATGATACACAAACATACATGTTCATTGGCAGAAAATAAAATTATGGAAGAGAATAGACTTTGAATTTGATTATACCACATTTTAAATAATAGTATCACTATTTCAATTGTTCTACAATACTATAAGTGTTTATATTAAAAGGTATATTATTTTGCTTGTATTTTTAGTCAGCTTATGTTCGTGACTTCTTGGTACGCAGTCTTATAACTTATTTTAATGTCTGACTAATAATAATATATGTATTACCAAACTGTAATTTATTTGCTCTTTTTATCTTTATTTTCAAATGACAGTTTTAATTGGCATAGTAAATACAAACACATTTTATTGAAATAGTAAAAAATCCACCTATTACGTCAGTATCTGATAAGAAAAATTTATAACATAAAATGTTTATGAACGATTATCACTTTCCATCAGATGGACAGTCAGCTTGTTTGACATTTTAGATTACATAAAAAAATAAAAGGAAATATATAACTGCACCATTTAATTAAAGGGATAATATTTCAAAGAAAAGTACATTTAACAAAGGTATTATTATTCATTTCAACAAAACGATATCAACCGTCACGGTAGGTACACGAACTGTATAATAAAATGATATATTTAACAGTACATTATATAGGTACCTACGCCAAGGGTTGCATGATAGGTTGACGTGCGGCTCGCCCAGTGTTGTAATAGCATTTTCGCCAGCATAAATCAAGTTATAATTCGCAATGATTGCATGTTAATACTAATAAACTTATTTTTATAGAAATGAAATCTATTATTTGATTATAGCTGTGTAGGTAGATAGATTAGAACTAGTTCAGGATTAGTACCTCAATTATTTGTGTGACTTTAATTTTTAAGCGATTTCAAAAAGGTAAGTCTCAATACAACAGTTATATCCACAATACACTGAGTAATAAAACGGTAGTAAATAGTTTGTTCATTTACTTACACACTCCACAATATGTAGAATTTTTGAATTATTTAAAAAAAAAAACGATTATTATGTGTATGTTACGCGATACTTCGCAAATTCTGGTTCAATTTTCGTGATTCTCCTTATAATAGAGTTTATTTCGTGTTAAATAAATAAAATAATTAAGGATAGTGCCCTACAACACCCTACAAAACCGACTTCAATTGTAATAAAACCAGTTATTTTGGTTTAAAAATTAAACTATTGAATCGGTTTTGATAATTTTTTTATGGCACCAATCTGTAAGTATATCCTTTTAGATAAAAAAAAGAAATATCCAGTACTGACGGAGTTATGAAGTAATAAACATAATAAAAGTATAAACGAATTGAGGACCTTTTTCTTTTTGAAGTCGGTTGATAAACACAGCATTACGAATGTTACGGTAGAAGGTATAGAAATAGGCTATATTCTTTTATAAAACCAATCTTCGTATTGTGATGTTAAATAGTCTATAATCTTCCTCAAGAAATAAGTTATGAAATGAAATGTAAAAAGAATTTTTCAAATTTGCCTGGTTCCAAGAATTAGCGTGTTTTAACTATTTCATTTGATTACAAGTATAGGTTAAAAGTACTTTCCCGTAACTGGCAAGCGTATATGAAAAGATTAATGACTGTGGAAGAAGCGAAAGGGATCTGTTTGGATTGAAACATTTGACATTCTATTGTTTCTGCCTACCCCAATGGGAGACAGGCGTGATAGATTACGTGTGTTTTTAATGGATAAACAAAATAAACATTAATTTATTGCTCACTCAACCAATACTCTTTTGGGAAAGTACCTATTCCAACTTGTATCACATACCGGCAGTGGACCGGTTTCCTCGTTGTTTATATCCTTGTTTCTTTATATTCACTTTTAGAGGATTTTTATTGCAACATAGTTTCCGCTCGGTACATGATATATCGCCCGATGCCCCATGTAACACCCCAAAATTACTAGCTATTGCCCTATATGTCCTCATTTTCTGTTTATCGAAAGCGTGACTAGTATCTACAAGTTTATAAGGCTATGGCGCTAGGCTCTTTGACCTTCGGTAAAGACCCTTTGTGAAAATTCTATAGGGATGCCGTATTGTATAATCGTATAAAACTTATAGGCTTTCTATTTGTATTTTAGTAGCACGAAATGTTCATAGATATGTAATATAGTTAAATTATATTATTTCATTTTAAAGAACTATGCAATTACATATAAATTATATTAAAAAGCTTAAATAAAACCTAATAAGTACTAGGGATGGTGATATATAGTAATATCTATATATTTTAGTTACAATATCCTATATACTGATCCAATAATGTTTGTTACCCAAAAAATCAAATTAGATAACAGATTTTTAACATATTCAAAAATAGATATCCGACCTGTATGGACGATATCGAAATGGGTGATGACCTTTTTTCGTCATTAATGTCAATGAACCCAATATATAGATATTGAAAACGTGCCCATATTACCTATGCCTAATAAGTACCCAAATCTTAGTAGATATTTGTAATCCATACTGGACTCGGATATTTTCTTGCAAGAAGAGGGTTTTCGCCTATTATTAACACGTTGGATAGGAAGGTAACTTTGTGCTATAAAGTTTTTTTACACTTTCATTTAATCTGAAAAAAGGTGGAAATTTAAACGGTCTTTGCTTTTGAGAAATAAATGTAACCATACTGAGTATAACCGTGCACAACATAGGATTAGGAGCGGAACTTTCAGCTGGGCGTAAAGACATGTTTGAGATTACGTATGCGCATTTTTTAAGGGGCCAAGCCTTGGAACATAATTTTACATACCAATGCTAACTGTTATGTTTGTATGAGAGATTATTTTGTTTGATTCCACTACCATTAATTTGTGTGTGACTGCCAAAACTGGAAGATTGACCACCACCACCATCAGGTCCACAAACAATATTCGCCATCAATCTCCGACTGCCATTTTGTTTATGCATATTTTGCGATATATGTTTTACATCTAAACGAGGCATCTTCAGGCAAATTATTAGATCGTTGCTCGGAATCTAATTTTAATCGATCGGGGCCCAAACTGTGAGATTCGTTTGTGATTATTTGTATAATGGAATTTCTGCCCTAATATATTCTACAGCATGGGTAGATTTATAGCTGTATGTACGGTTAATGACTTCGATTTCATTCAATATATTCAATATTTGGTTACCAGTGCGCAGCTGGGCGCGCGGCGTGGCAGGAGGCGGCGGCAGTATCCGTTGGTGGCGGTGGCGCCGGCGCTGGGGGCGCGGCGCGGCGCTGCTCAGTGCTCGGCGACCACCCTGGCGCCAGGAGGGACCCACGCGGCAAGTGGCACAGAAACAACCGGGTAGGTTTGCCAGATAAGCCTATTGATATTTCCTCTACCGATAAGGGACGTTTTGCCTGCAGAGGTAAAATCATGTAGCGTAAGACTCTAGGTCTTTTCAATCGATTCCAGAGAATCGAGGAGATGCTCAGTTTTTTCTTTTAATAGAAATTAAATGGTAACGCTTCCCTTTGTATGTCCTACCGCTTGTATAACGAATTGTGTTCTAAAGAATTATTTGAAATAATGCTTATAGTCACCTTTTATCATTGCTCCGTTCGCCAACGACAGGGAATTCATCCTCACACGCTCGAAACTAAATTGTCACGTACAGTGTAGTTTCAGAGAAATTACCTCCCGCGAACGCTCAGGCTGTAGAATAAGCTGCCGAGATTTTCCCTAGAGACACACATATTAAGGTTTCTTCAGGGTCGGCAATGCGCACGTGACACTCCTATTGTTGCAGGCGTCCATAGGCTACAGTGACCGTTTACCATTAAACGAGCTGTATGCTTGTTTGCGCCGTTGTGGTATAAAAAAATAACGAATTAATTGTTGATTTTCGTCTACAGATGCGATATTGGTATTAAATGTCTGTAAAGGTATACACACGAATTTTGGAAATTATTTATACGTTTCATTGTAGACCCCCAAAGTGTAATATATCTTCTGTTTAGACCGTAATCATCATAAACATTTATGAAAAGGATTTACGTGAAAACAGTATGAAAAAGAATAAAATAAATTACCCAATAATATATATCATATCAATCATACAGGTGCGAGACGCTTCGTATGGCTCGTCATCGGAGTCGGATGGCGAGGCGGAAGGGGCGACCGGAGAACCATGGGGCGTTGCGCGTCTGTTGTACGCTGGTCTCGGTATCCTTGCTGTGGGACTCGTCGTCTACTTTGTCGGCACCGGCGACAAGGTGGGTATTTTTTGGCATGGAAATGGATAACAAAACTCCACCTGCGCTATCTGTATATACTGAAAAAGTACCAATGAGTGATAACAGATGAGGATGAAGTCAGTGGGCCCTTCATAGCGAATTCAATACTGTGGTTTTCAGGAGAAATCGCGTGAAAGTTGATCTGACAAGATACGAGTAAATTTATTAGTGCTAACACTGAGGACTAACCTCCTCATCATTGGCGGAAAAGGGAATTTAATAATGGGGTTAAAACACTCATTGCTATCAATATACCCTTTTAGATCGACCTCTATGCGGTATTCCTTGGAAGTCATGTTGAATTCGTCACGACGGACCGCCTGGCCTGATTACCTCACCTATTATCACTAACTGGTCACTGGCATTTTGCCAGCATATATCCATAGTGCAGGCGTGGATATCATTATATGATCAGCCATTAAAAAAACCTTGTCATACCTAACAATTTCTTCCACGATATGGTGTGTATCGACTCAGTATTAGGTAGATTAGGTAGCTGCTATACTACTGCTTTACATAGGCTATGCAATTTGTAATTTTGTCTCGTTTCTAACAAGTTCAGTCCAAGCCGTTAGTTGTTTTAAATTAGATTTTAAATATTATTTTAAATAATAACTTATGTAAAATTATAATAATTTATATCTTCTCGAAGGTTCAATCTTGTTCACTTTAACCCTAAGAAGACACAAGTCTGCGCGTTCACCGCAAAAAAGACACCGTTTGTCGTATCTCCTCACTTTCGGGGCACTTCCCTCGATAATAAGTCGAGTCTGGGTATTCTTGGCGCCGATATATCTAGCGACGTCCAGTTTTGCGGTCATCTGGAGGAAAAAGCTAAGATAGCTTCCAAAAAGTTGGGGGTGCTCAATAGGGTGAGACGGTATTTCATGCCAGAAAACCGCCTGAAACTATATAAAGCTCAAGTGAGGCCACACATGGAATACTGTTCTCACCTGTGGGCAGGAGCGCCACAGTACCAACTCCTTCCGTAAGACCGCATTCAAAGTCGGGCAGCTCGAATTGTTGACGATCGGCGTCTTACTGTCCGGCTCGACCCACTGAAACTGCGTAGAGATGTTGCATCTCTGTGCATCTTCTACCGAATTTATCATAGTGCTCTGAAGAATTGTTCGGATTGATACCTGCTGCTGATTTTCACCATCGTACAACCCGCCATTAACTAAAATTTCATCCAAACCATCTGGACGAGTGGCGGTCCTCAACCGTGCGTTTTTACTTTCTGTTTTGGAATCAACTTCCAGCAGCAGTATTTCCGAACCGATACGACAACATAACCTTCAAGAAAAGAGCATATTCCTTTTTAAAAGGCCGGCAGCACACTTGCAATGCCGTAGGTGTTGTGGGTGACCATGGGCGGCGGTAGTCACTTACCATCAGGTGAGCCGCATGCTCGTTTGCCCCCAGTGTTGTAAAAAAAAAGGTCTTGAATTTGAATCCAACCAACACCAAAACTTGTGTTAATTTAAATTTTTGACAAATCATCCCCTGTCAGGTTGAATTGTAATATACTTGGCGAAATGTTTACATCTCGAGTGTTACGTTTACTACAACAATAATAGACGACAAATACCTTTAACTACGCCATCAGAAAGTATAGTCGTGAGCATATATTTTTAATTTAAAAATTATAAATTTGATTAGAGATTGAATTTTACTTATGTTACGTACTCGTACTAATCGTCATCATTGCCACTTATCTATTGTTCACTGTTATGCTATGTCCACAAACATAGATCCCCCATATTACGGTACAAAGTACGATTATATGCCACTTGCATTCAGCAACTTCCTGAAACACTCTTATTTATTTATTTATAAAAGACACAGCAACAACATGCTCACAACAATTGAGCAGACAATATACAATGTTATAAGTAAGTAAAAGAGAAAAACTACTATTCAAAAATGCTTAAATCTAAGTTTACTTGAACAAAAACATCTCACTCCTCACTACTAAGTTTAAGGCCATATGAACACATCAATTAAAGCTGTATACAGCTCTCACAGATAAGCGTCAATGTACGTACACTAAGTAAACTCTTGAGACCATTACTCCATCTATCATTACTAATAGTAAGGTTTAAACATTGCAGGGTTTCAAAACGCCAGCTCTACGACTGGTGGGGCCGTCGCTCATCATCGCTGGGCTGGCATGCTGTTTACTGCGTATCACCTTTTGCATATTTGCAAAGCCTTGCTGCCGACGGCGGACCAATTACAAGGAGAGCAGAAGGTAATTCGTTTCTCATACGTATTCGAAATCATCGTATTGCTCTTGTCCCTTTAATTCGGGTCAGTGTTCTTACACTGATCCTTGTCAGTCATTATATTGAGTCTCAGACTTCCATGCGTATGTTGACACAGTTTTTCCTTACGTGAAAATATATCGAGATGCAGAACCTAAGTTGTAATTAAAATAAATCCTATTCAATTATAGATCTGGTTCAATTGAAGTTTTATCCCAATTTTGTCCACAATTTTTCCATAAAAATTCAGCTATTGAACAAAAACTCCGTCAAGACCTAATTATGTCATTTTGCACATCTTGCCTAATAGTTTCCAAAGTTCACGAGGTATGAATTCATCATTAGTGATGACCAATATTAGTTTTGGTTAAAAAGAATAACGATGACAATCAACTTATCATTTTATCTTTTGACCTTCTTCTCAAAGGCCTCTTGTTTCTATTCTTTTAGGGTTCATAATTCATACCCGTAAAAGATTCAAGGTATCGCAAAGATTGATCGATCATAGACATCTACAAAACTTATGAAAAGTTTTGTTTGAGTAATGTGTATGACGTCATCACGTTTGAATGATCTAAATTATTTTCACGAAGTTCAAGGTTTGGCGTCGATTTTTTATACGATTATTAAGTAACCCATTAAACTCTTGATGGATAATGGTTACCGTCACCTGTGGAAATAGAAATGCATAGATTTTATTATTAATTTATGCACTTATGTATGGTGCCTGTTAATTGCCACTTTCCAGACTGTCCGGATGCGGGGAAGGCGAAGAGATGCCGCTGGCGGGTGGAACGGCGAGCGGACAGCGCGCCGGGCCGGCACAGTGCTCGCCCGCGCGCCGCCTCGACGCCTCCTCCTGCGACGTGTCCAGCCTCTCCAGCGGGGAGGAGGACGAGCGTCTGCGCCGGTATCGGACGGCGTCGGCGCCGTCGCACCTGTCCGTGCAAGCTGCGCCACTGCCACAGGTGAACTGGTTGTTTTTATTCATAATTCTTTAAAGTCTTGGGATCATTGAAAGGAGTCATTATTAGGAGTTAGAGTTACTCTCGTTTTTATATATTCGATTTGATATATATTTTGACACTACTTTTCTGTACGTTCTTGATGATTATATGTAAGACGTGCATGATTTTATTGTTCCTCAATCACAAAGCGAAACCCAATTAGGTGGGCTCTCAACTTCTTTGCTATTTTAATGCATAAAAAAGAATGGTAGAGTTTCAACTCGCCTGGCAGATAAGATCGTCTTATCTCTTTCTTCGAAGTAGTAAATAGTGCATTGTCTAGATTAGATACGAAGCTTGAGATTATATATACTATGCGTCTGCGCTCCTATTATGCACTGCCATTACTAACATGGCTTGTTGCACTCTCGATGTACAGTAGAAAAGGCGTTGTTTATCAACGCACATATGCATATGTTCTATTGTTTCTAGTAACTTAGAAACTTTTTCCATCAGGGTTCACCACAGCAAGTCGCAGCTGTACAGAGCACCTCGCCTGCGACGCCGCGGCCGGCCCTGGCGATGCAGGCGAGCGCGTCGCAGCCGAGCGCACTGGTGGGTGCCGGCGGGGCCGCGGCGGCGGGGCCGGCGGGGGCAGCGGGGGCGGCGGGTCCCCGGCGGCCGCCGCCGCGCAACGTGTCGTTCGCTGGCACCGCCGACGGCGAGCTAGTCCTCAGCCCCGCTCAGCTACGCTCCTAACGAAGCAATAAACGTTCTCGCAATACCCCCTTTTTATATCCCCACCGGACGATCTGACTCTATCGATTCGGATATCGATCATGTGATAGCGTGAGACTCTCGAGTGATTTTTCTATTCGATAAGCTACGAGTCGTTGATTATTTGCACGTTTGGATATATTCTCGCAAGTTGATTCTCGATATATGTATCTATTAAGAATAATTTGCTTGTTTTAAAAACTCCGTCTTGCCGGACTACGTGTGCATATAATGTGTAACGGAATGCTGTAAAGAATTATTTTTGGTTTCTACATAATATTCGCAATATATACGAGTATAAGTAACGAAATGTGTTCAACGCTTTCTATACGCAGTAACAAAGAATATTTATAAAGAGACAATTTTGTTATACATTGTATGCGCCTCTTAGTTGTTGTATTTTTCTTATATCTAAACCGCTATAAATTCATGATCAATTAAACACCTATATGTAAAGCAGCCAAACCGAAGTGGTTCCGGGTAGGTATTAGGCTGTGAAAAGTTCAAAATATTTTTACTTCGATATGTGACGTCAATAAATTGGTATAATATAGTTATAAAACTATATAAAGTATCCATTTTGAGGTTACAATAGCTACTTAAATAATACGTTAATGTCATTGGGAATAAATACATAATTAAATATAATTTTAGAAAAAAATCTTGTTTACTAGATAAAGAATTTATTCTTAAGGGTTTGCTAAGTATTGCAATAATAGCAGACGATTCTTTGTATAGGTGATAGGAGTTATGAATTTCATAGACTATCAAGCAGCTTCAATTAAGTAGAATCAAACGCGCATTTATTGCTGCTTGTAAAACACAAGACAGAGTACCGCTGTCTCTATCATAATATAAGTGACAACTGATGAGTGCTAAATTCAAGCTGCTTGATTGTTTACGATTAGATTAACTTATGCAACTTCGATCAGACTTGCATTTAAGTTGAAGACATTTTACTGAAATTAAACTATTGAGTTTGACATTATGTATTGACATTCTATAACAAAACTTTTGATTATTTTCAAAGAATAGCTCCCTAGACAAATGGCAAACAAATCAATTGATACATACGTTTTCTTCGACGTATCCATAAGATAGAACGAGACAGCAATGTCCGGCGTCTTTTTCTTTCTCGTGTTTGCGGTAGTGCATAGGTGTCTGCCGATAGTTTTGTTAGCCGCTTGTCTAAGAGAACTGGTATATATATAATTATTAGCGTCACATATCGAATGTAAAGATTTGAATTTGCCGCCATTTTTACCGTCGTACATATTCGTATATTATACTTAAACTAAGACGTTCATTCAATCTTTGTAGCAATATAATAATGAATGTGCTAGATTCATCCGTCTTAAAGCCAACTAGTAGATATACTGAGAACAGAGGTGTGGTCTTACTGACTGACTATTGCAGAACCGTATAATACAAATAGAAAAAAATATAACAACAGTTTAGTGTAAAAAAAAAGAAACTATCACATAGCCTCTAGAGTTCTTAAAAATTTATGGAAATTTTAATTTCTATAAGTCGATTTTATTTATTTATCATAATTAAAATGAGTAATATTTCATATAAATTATAGAAATAGTACTATTTACTTTATAAAATGAAGCAATAAATAAAACCACTTTCCATCAAATTCTAAGTTGTATAAAAAAAGTAATATTTCATATAAATTATAGAAATAGTACTATTTACTTTATAAAATGAAGCAATAAATAAAAGACAAATAGAAGCAAGTAGACGGGACGAAGTCACAAACTCGATTACTTAGTTTTTGATATATTATGGCCATCACGTTCTCATGTAGCCTCACAGCACTCTCAAAATTAATACAATAATTCCCAATTTATTAAAATCTAATGTAAAATAAGTATAATAAAGATTTATAACAATAAACACTAAACGGTTACTACTTTTTATCAGGTGGGCCGTTAGTTTGTTTGCCATTATAATTTGCATAAAAAAAACTACAGATACCCGAAAAATATTGCCCTCCATTTTCACCAATCGGGTAAAAAACACAATGAGCTACTTTACTGTGTCGAGTTGTTTTATTTTTTAATGTGAAGACCACACCTCGTGACAGTATGAAACTAAATAGTGAATTTAATATAAACATAATTGTGTTAAAACTGCCTACTACTAGACGCGAATTTATATATATATATATATATATAATAAAGTCATAAATAGATTTATAACTGACAATAATGATTGTTAACTGATGTATAAAATGTTATGGCGTATGTGCGTGATTTTATTTTAAATTATGTCCAAACGATTCTAGTAGTTCAAGCGCCGAGTGTAATTCAATGTAGCAGTAATATTTATATTAATATATCAATACTTTTAACAGACCTTTAGCATCATCTCGACCATTATCTGTCTACTGCAGACATAGGCCTCCTCCATAAACTGTCACAAGGAACGGTCCCAAGCCACCTGCATCCACTGACTCCCTGCAATACATTTGAGTTCATCACTCCATCTAGTGGGGGATCGTTCTACACTGTTTGTCCGTAGAGTTTGAATTATTTATTTACATCATTTTTAACACATACTTATCAGATTGTGAAATCACAAATGACGTAATAAAAATAAAGAGAAGTCATAACTAAATACACATTGTTAATATATTGTAATAAATAAACCAAGCACTAACGAACTTTCCACATATTTAGCGCAGGCCTACAAATAGACTCCTAGTCTGTCCAGGTACTGAAAATATATATAAGTCTCCCATATATTCGCCCTAAATTGCATCACAGGTCAATTCTATGCATAAGTTATTAAACATTCTTCAGTCTGCATTAATTTAATAGTTACTATTTTTTATGTTCTTACTATAAGTTAAATACAAACTTAATACCTATTTTTAACGTTATATTATGGAATAGATTATTCTGGTCTGTATTTATGACTTATCTGAAATTTAAATACAGAAAGCGACAACCGTATATAAGTAATCTATCGAATAAAGATAAGTACCGTGTGAGCCACACAGGGAATGTTACAAATATGGCTTACTCTCAAGTCTATTGTCAAGATTTATCGAATAAAAATGTTTGTAAAAACTCGAATAACGTTTAAAGGATTATTAAAATCCCTTCAACGTTATATTCTCACTCCCGTTACTCAGTTATACATATATACTGAGTTTATATATAAATCTCTTGAATATATTTGTTCTATAGTATCTATTATTTTTATTTATTTATTTTATACTTTATTGTACACATCAGTAACACACAAAGGTAAGTAAATGTACAAAGGCGAGCTTAACTTTAAAAGAGTTCTTTTCCAACAAACTCAAAGTGGAAAGGAGCATTAATGTCAGCGGTTAGAGCGGTATACAATATACCTACATACTTATACTCAATGATTTATACCTATATTAACTTGGCGTGTGAACTACATATAGACACCAAAAATATATTAATATAGTTAGCTAAATACATAAAGTTTGGTGTATAGCGCGTAATACTGTCTAACAGTATACTTATGTATGTGTAACTATGGTAATTTAACATACATACATGTGTGTTACGCGTGCGTTGTATATGGCACAATATAGTGATTACTGTTTATAAATATATTATATATTTTAGAAATATTTGCACCTTTAGTAGTGAAATATTATAATGTATATCTGCAGATTTTAACTAGAATACGATATTTATGAGGGAGACGAGACACTTTATGAGTAAAGTGTATAAAACGTTTCGAAGTTATGTTTCTATATGACGAAACAGAAAATATGTAACTACCCTATTGTAAAAGATTTTGATTAGTTTTTGTCAATTATACCTTGGTAATCAGATTAATGTAGTTATTTTATATTATTTAAATCTAAGAATTGTCAATTACTTGTTTTCGAGATAAGATTTCGATATTTCGCTTCCTTTTCTTTTATATTTAATGCTTGTGATCAATCTTTTGAAACAACAAAAATATCTATTTTGTTAACAAAAGAAATAGATAACAGTAATGAGAAATAACGGGATTTATTTACACTCAACACCGTGGAAAATTAAGAAATCTCTTTTTAATAATATGGTTCCTATTTGTTACAAAAAAGTTCGATATGTTGAATCAACAGTATCTAGATAATTGTATACCAGTATAAAACTACAACGATTTTAGGTAAAGCCATCAAGTTGCATGAAAAACAAAATAGGTGGCCTAAAATCTAAGGTAATTCCAAATTATACATGTTTACAAAATCAAAGGAATAAACTAATAGTCGTACATAAACGTATAGGTGTTAAGAAAAATATGAGCTTCGTTTAGACTAACTGGCTTGTGTAACAAAGTGTTGTGTAAATTAACGAAATAGATGTCCATCAGATACATCGTCATCCCCTTTCTTTTTCTCATCTTTATCTATGTTAAATGAATTTATTTTTCTTGTAAGAAATAAATAATTGTATAAATATTTTTATGGAGCGATATACTATGGATTGTTCAGTTTTTATTATTATAAACCAAGCGCACATAACTGGTGACAGGGTTCATTTATTTTTGTCTATCGGTGGGCGAATTTTCATTTACTTTCATACATATTTTACCAACAGGATAATTGCGTACTGACGGTCCAAGATTTGTAGTTCATCTTCAAATTTTACTAAGGAAAATTCGCCTGCTTATTTACGTAATCTAAGATAGATAAGTTTATAAAAAAAAAAGAAACTATTGTCTACTAACTAATAAAAGAATACATTTTCACATCTGTAACACCAATGTTTGATTTCCAACGCTCGCTATTGGGAAATTTTGTAAATAATTATAATTTAGAACTTAGCGTTTATACGTGTAAGAATTTTGTTTATTCGATAAGTGGAGAATAAACCGCGCACCAATAAGTATGTTAAGTTCCTTTGAAACATTTGTGTAAAATTCGCTAGATTGTTGCTACAACACTTTATCTTTTTGAAATTTTGCAATGGTTTCAGTGAGTCAGATAGAGTAGTGTGTTGTTCAAGACGTTTTATATTTATATTACGTATTTAAAATGCTATTTCTAACTTCTTTTAAAGATTTATCGAATGATCTCACGTAGTAAACATTTTAATAAATTTTGTGCATTTGTGCTTCCATATAAGCTTGCATGGAAAATGTTGCTTCTTCGTGTTTCCTATAAAGTGATGTTGAGATAGAATCTCTACTAATATTAATTTTATTAACTGATACTTTACGTTTAGAAGGCCTATAATAACTATACTTTGATAACAATGTTTGAGTGATGCAAATTTATTCCGGGTAAAACGAAATGTATATATAATTTATGTGATTGCGCAGTGACAAGTTCATAAAAATGTCAATATTTGAATATTGATGTTGATATTAAAGTATAGACAGACCTCAAGTTGTATTAGGTGACATTTAGTAACATTTCGTTAGTAATACGAATAGATTCGATAGTGAAGTGTAGTGAAATATCTCAGAGAATATGGACTTGTCGCAAGAATTTTATCAAATCCCGTACTGGGATTAAAAACAAACAGCTCTCTTTTACAGATGTTCCAAACTATTACTTATCGAAAATAAAATTATAAAACGGCTTTATAATTGAGAAAAAAACTCACATTTTCAATTGCAATGTACTTTAAAAGTTAAAAATTACGACAAAACGTTACTATTTTATTGATGATATTATTTGTTAATATAAAAGCAAATTAAACAATAAATTTATATACATCTATATGGAGCGTAGTGTCAAAAACGTTTTATAAAACGGGAAACCAACTGCTAGATGATGCGGATTTAATTTCGTACTATACAAAAATCCGTAAGTTCTTTAATATAATAAAAATATACAAAAGTTTGTATAGTAAAAGAAACCAAGTCTTAAAAGATTAGTACAATTAAAATATCTTTTCAAAAGTGTGTCGTTTTGAAAACGAGGCCGTTTCTCACAAAGCAATTCCAGAAGACACTATCTAGCTAGATGTATATGATCTAAGAACCAATAAAAAAAAAATGGAAAAATATTGTTACGCTTGTTATAAACAATGTATTTACAAATCAGATAACTTCACTTTGGAATTGAAATGTTACCTAAGTTGCTCCTACTGAAACACGCAATTTTTGTAATCGCTATATTAAATTAATTGCTAAAGTTTACTCTGAATAATTACAATAACAAAAAGCGATACTATTGTCTTGGTTATAAGTATTATATTAAGCTAAGGAATAATTTTGATCTATGAATCCTACTTTGTATTGAATTTTAATGGCTAGTGATGAGGATTTTAGATCTGAATGCTTTAGGTGCGTTTTAAAGGCGATATATGACTTCATCTAAGTCAACTATGACGCTATGACTATTTCTGTTGAAATTAATAAATCACATATTTCATTATATGTTATTATACTTGGTATCTGATGTCTTCAAAACTATACTGTAAAACATATTAAAATGTGTCTCTTCATTTTAGAAATGTACCAAATAAGGTGCAAATAAGCAAATTGGATATAATGATCACTGTGATTTAAATGTTGTTTAATAATGTTGAACGAAATATTGGATATATTTAATTTATATTTAATTTTGAAATATATAATAAAATTTAATGTCGTAGCGCTCAAAGAAGTTACTAATGGATATGAATAGATTTACAATATAATGATAAAGAGCAATGAAATGTAATATTGATTGATTAATTGTGTTTGTGTAAATAATTAGTTTACGTCATACCATATATTGTTCATTACATCGTTTGTATTATTTATAGGCATTGGTGCATATCATGTGTATAGAGCAGATGATTAATCAAATAAATTAGAAGGAAAATATAGTTGACAATAATGTTTTATTTGATATCAACTCTTTGAGGTCACAGGAGGGGGTTTTAGTAAGTTTCACCAGAGGGAGACTGTCGAGACACCTTTGTCTCATTCGTGTTTCTACTGTGAAGCAGTTGTGTTTGCATGACTGTGTTTCGGTTTGGTTTCGGGTGGGATATGACAGTGAATATATAGGATACAGAGGAATAATACCTGAGTCCTCAGGAATGGTAACGTATGGGGAGTATCATGGCCGAAACAGTATACTTTGTTATATCCATGGTACTGCTCATGTTTATAGGCGACGGTAAATACTTTCCATTAGGTGGGCCATCAGCTCGTTTGCCATTCTAAGTTGCATAAAAAAACCCGTTTTAATATGTTTTGGAAAAATATGAAACACCATATTTCTGCTTTTAAATTTGAGGGTTGCAATCGATTTCCTTAAGATCATCAAATCCTGACTTGGTGACAATGGGACCACCTCAGATACTCTTTTGAATAAAAAATATTTTTTAAAATCAGAGACTACAGTACAGGGTTCTTCAAAAGGGGTATATTAAAGTTTCTTCAGGGTCGGCAACGCGCACGTAACAACTCTAGTATTGTAAGCATGCATAGGTTACAGTGATCGTTTACCATCAGCCGAGCTGTGTAAATAATCGCCTCCTTTTTTTGAAGTTTTTTGAACAATCCTTTCCATTAATTAATAATGGTTTTTACGGGAAATTTACGTCTATGTTAGGATTCTCATTTTAAATATTTAGTCGAGATTAATAGATATCTCATGTTAAGCGCGTAATGTTGGCATACTAATAGTTTCATCAGGCAATTTATACGAAGCTAAACCAATAATCCTAGATAATATGGAAATAAAAAAAACAACAATATTTATAGTATTATAAGTGAATGTACAAAAGCATATAAATAAGAATAAAACTCCAGATGATGTTGTCGTCTCGTCATTTACACTAATATTATAAAGGGGAAAGATTTATATTTTTATGTGTATGTATGTTTATAATGAATAAACTCAAAAATTACTTTGCCGATTTCAAAAATTCTTTCACCATTAGAAAGCTACATTCACCCTGAGTAACATTGACTATATTTATTGCTAGAAAATATTAGGATCCTTACTAAAACTTTAGTAATGTAACTCAAGGTGTAAAAAAATGCTATATCTTTCGTCGCGTGCGCTGCAGAAACTATAGGTGATAGAACAAAATTATGTTCTACATTATTGTAGAAAATACCAATAACTACAAAAAATTTCGCGATACTATATGCTCAACTATTATCGTTATGTCACAATAACCACTTTTTACATTTTAAAAGTTGATAGAAAAACTGACCAAAATTACACCATGTTATTCATACTTCTGTTTAAATCCTTATCCAAATAAATATAATTAAAAAATATATAAAAAATTTAATCAATTAGGTAGGATCAGATAAAAATGTAAAATGTAAAAATGTCCACCCGTGCGAAGCCGGGACGGGTTGCTAGTAACTCATAAATGTAGTAGTGAAAATGTACCTATCGATGAAATCGTTATCTACTAATCTAAATTCTAACGGATAGAATTTAGAATTTTATCATCCATAGACAACAGCATATAGGCACTTGCTCCATATAGAATATTGATCTCTTTGCTTACGATATAAAACTTAGATGTTTTGAGATTAAAAGGGTATTTAAATTGTATTTTAAATGGTTTATATGGTAATAATTAAACAGCAGTAATAATAAAGGTAACATGTTATATATTCCATTTCAACACTACAATATGTCTCTGAACAGAAATATTTACATCAATTATTGCAAACCTTAAATAAAATCACAACATAATTTGACGGCGGAACTAATGTTTTATATGTTTTTTTTTATTTTCCAGACAGTTTAAATGGGTTTTGGGTATTTTTCCAGTTCCTTATTTTCAAATGTCAAATATTAGTTTATACATTTTTTTTTTTATAAAAATCTGATTTCTATTTTGATATAATTAGTATAAGACCAATATGGGAGTAAACTCTTTCGATTAGAAAATTATAAATAAGCTTATTTCAGAATTGGGTCAAATATCACATACATATCGTCATAGTCGTAAAATACTGACGGATCTTTATATGTAATATTTTTTTTTACAACACAGAGGGCAAACGAGCATGCGGCTCGCCTGATGGTGTGTGTACCGCCGCCCATGGTCACCCACAACACCTACGGCATTGCAGGTGTGCTGTCGGTCTTTTAAAAAGGAATATGCTCTTTTCTTGAAGGTTATGTTTGTCAGATCCGTCAGTATTCTACGACTATGACGATATAGTTATACAAAAACATACAATCGATTTATCAATACAAATGAGATAAAACTCTTTAGAACGAAACCTTTATAAAATAGTTTGAAAATATGATAAAATAGACGATTTTATATTAGCACCATATTACAAAATCAAATATATATGAGGTCAATGGTTTGTATGTTTAAAAAGGTAATATACCTCGTACGAACTATTAAAATCTCATACATACATATTTTAACTGCTGATATGTTTCACAAATTCAAATATTTAAATTAAGAAAAAAAACTTTAATAGCTAATACAGATCAGCCGTATGGTCCCCGCATAGAGTGAGCCACACTTTCCTTTCCCGTGGATGTCGGTAAGAGACGATTAAAGAAACTTAGTGGTCGAGAGATGGATAGCAACATTTCTCTTAGAACATCACTAAAGCTTAACGGCAGTTGTCAACCTGTTTGCTAAATTGTCAGTTGTTTGCATGGCTGTGTTTCGGTTTGAAGGGTGGGATATGGCAGTGAATTTACAGGGTACAGAGGAATTGAGTCCTCAGGAATGGCTACGCATGGGGGGTATTAATAATAAATAGATTTACTACACATTAAACATTTTTACGAAATAATAAAACCATATTTTATGCATTTTGTTTTTGTGTACCGTTTACTTGTTAAAACTTGCTTAATGTAATAACGTCGATCTTGCTCGAAATGGGGCACCTATTATAAGAATCCAAATGAGAGCAATCTTTGTATTTAGTCTGTATTTTTTTTTATACAACTTAGAATGGCAAACAAGTTGACGGCCCACTTGATGGAAAATACCGTTGCCTATAGTCTCTGTACCATGGACCAGTGAAATTCATGCGTCATATCCCACCCTTCAAACCGAAACACAGCCATGCAAACACAACTGCTTCACGGTTGAAACACGAATGGGACAGAGGTACCCAAGCAATCGATAAATATTGTATTGATAAATATTATCTGCATATGATAATAGGTAGATATTTGATAGTGTAATATGGCACTAAAAATAATGAACATATACTATAAAATCATACATGAAGTTGGTGCCTATAATTTCCAATGGGGTCGTTTCTGATACGTTATTTCTCTCGACCTATCTCATAATATATTTTAATCTGACAGTTTCACGAAATGACTGTATTATTGACCATCATAAATTTATATTTTTTTTTAAACCACTGTGGTTACAAACAAGCATACGACCCATCTGATGGTAAGCAGTTACTTTACTATATATTTTTAATTAAATCTATTAATAATTTAGTCCCTAGAATAAAGATTTGGTTGTTATTTCTGGTTTTATATTACAATTATCATTTCAGAGATATGCTTAGAGAAATGATGCTTCAGAAACGACCCTGTAGTCTGTAGTTCTAAATTTGAATGTGTTACATCTATTTCTATCAAATATTAAATTTGGAGGAAAATCATGTATAACTGTGTAAGTACTATTTAGTGGTTTTTCATTCTGTGTTTGCTATTTCTTTACAAGTTATTTTATCTACCAATCAAATTTATTATTAAACAACAACCACCATTGTGTGCTTACAATACGCCATGAAATAATTTATAACTAAATATATAAAAAAATATTAAACTAAAACATCTATCTTAAAAAATATATCCATTTAATATAATACCAAAAGACTATAATTAATAATTTACTATCTAAATGGAAGTCTGCGTATTTTATATAAAAAAAAAAGTAAATTTCAAGTTTTAATCTTTGTAGAAAAGGTATAAAAAATATGCGATAAAATTATAACGTATACAATTAGAATAAATAATAGGTGATACAGGAAAAAAAATCGCAGACTTAATTATAAAAAGGCGATTTCAAACGAATTTCTCTTTTTAAATTATTTTACTATTTTTTTTTATGGCAAACAAGCTGAACAGCATTTAAGATCTTAACTGTCGGGTATAGATTTTGTTGAATTAGGTGTTATATTGAGCACATTTGTAGCTGTAATCAATTGGTTAGTTAATCAGATTTTTTTTTAATTCCCTTATCCGGAATTTAAATTATTCTGACCAACTAACCAAATTGTCGTGTAGACATAGGCTAAAATGTACAGATAAATACCATTATATATAAATATAGACCATATATAAATATACAATTCATGGTAAACCTTCAAACATCGCCATTCAAAATATCACAAGCAAGATGACTGACACCACCTTTTTTTCAGATTGACGTACAAGGCGACTAAGTATCTGCGCAGATAAAGGATGTTTTGTCTATGGATTAAATCCCTTTTGAAACAAATATTATTCCATCTTTCCAGGCCAAGTGATAAGAAATAATCGACCAAATCCCAGTCATACTGATACCTTTAAAAATGCCATCCTGCAACACTTATGTAATGGACTAATAGCCTCATAGCCTAGCAACATATCTTAACAGATCGACCTCCACGCGGTTTGCCCTGGAAACTATCGGAGTAATTTTTTTATTAATTCATCACTAGCGCCCCGCCAACAGGGATAGATATGGATAGTGCAGGCGGGGTTATGATTTTAATGCTTTACACAAAACAGTAAATTTATTCTCTTATTAATTGGTTACTTAATTGTAATTATTATTCGTATGAAATCGCCTTATATCTATCTACAAATATCTATCACATACACATATATACGGACGTAACGAGAGATCCATATCGTACAGTTTACAAAAATACAACTTTGACAATATTTTTTTTATTACTCTACACTATCTACAATGTTTAAATAAAAAAACTAATGCTTACGCAATACGTCATAGTTGCTAAATATGGTGATTAAAAAATGTACTGTAAATAAAATAATCTTCTTCTGTTTTCAATTTAATTAAAAAAATCTTAATTTAATGGAAAATAAAGAAAACAGACTTTCACTACCCACTTTTTACTTTAATAAACCATAAAAATTGTAAATATTTTTAAATATAATTTGTGTGGATGGGTTTAATTGGTGTATATATATATATCTCGCCAAGTTATCGCAGTTCATTTTTTAACACCATACTATAAGATATTATTAAAAAAGTTATAGAAAAAAAAATTGTTAGTTAAAATTTGAATGAGCCTTTTTTAAACTTAGGATGAATTGATTTTCGGAAATATTCATTTGATGGCACTGTGCTAGATTATTTTAGTGCAGTATTCAATATGGAATAATATCAGAACTAGTGTAACGGTTAATGGGGGAATTAATCTAAACATGACATTTTTAAATCAAATGGCGTTTATTTTAGGTGGGATGATTATGAAAATCAGTGTTTTTTCTTTATTATTACAATTTCTTTTTACTAACAAAGGTTTTATTTCAAATTTGATAAAACAAAAACTATGATAAGATTGGATTTTTTATAAAATTAATTTAAATTTATATCTTCTGTTTCATTAAAACGTCTGAAATAATTATCATTTATTAGTCAAATTTTTAATTTACTAATTTTTAATCACGATCATGCTACAATAGCCATTTTTTTAGAATAATGCAAACCTTCAACTATGGCAACACTAGTTTAAAACATAATGTATCGTGATATAATTTTAAGCATTATTCACAGACCATAATGGCTCTGTAATGTCAAAAATCTATGGCATATTGTTTGATAAGTTGAAGATTCGTTTTTAAACATAATGACAGTAGAATATTAATTAAAATAAATGTACACTTTTAATGATGACAAACTGTATCATGTCTTCCAATCTATTTTTTTATCTGAAACCCGACAATCTCTAGCTATCGCTATCGCTGCTCCTTTTTAATCCCAATATGCCGTAAGATAATTTAGGAACAAAGTATAACAATGTTTGTTTAAAATAAATCCTATCCTGACAGAATAGTAGCACATTTTAGAAAAAACTGTGTACGGAAACGAGTAAATTTAACATGTTGTTAACATAATAATATTCTTTAGCATCTACGTCCAGATGGAATTGATTTTATATTTGATATTTGTCAAATTCTTTACATATTTTACTAGGAGATTTAATTTTCTTGTTGATAAACTTTACGTGTAATATTACCAATGATCACATATTAAATATGCATCTTATTCTACAAAAGATAGCATATGTTTTCAAACATTCACTGATATTGTAAATTAAACTCACAGTAACAAGGTTTAAGATGCATATTCTTAGTTACGTTTATATTGTAGCTAATATCAAATGGTCTCGACGAGCCCCTTACGCTTCGGCCGCGGCGCATCAGCTGATATAAAAGAAGTCTCTTCTGAAGAGTTTGATTGCTTTGGCAGCTGTGTCGATGTGCTCGGTTGACTCTGAAAAATTACATGTATTTAGAATATGATTAATAATTAATTATACATTAGTATAAAGATACGTATTTATTAAAAACGTATTTTTTATAAATTCCTAATCAAAAGTAAAAATAAAGTAACATTTGATTGACTTTCTTGTCCATTCTTCTCAGATGAAATCACATACCGTATTGAGCTTCATAATATATATATATATATAAATTTAGGTTATAAAAAATATTTATATATATTTTAATTTGTGCAAAGCAATATTTCTTTCTTTAAACTACTAAGATGCCAAACATGCTTACGGCCAATCTGGGGTATTTCACACACGTTGCCAAACCAAAGAAAACTTTTTACCCCTTTTTAAAAGAACTACATTCTGTAGTTTAAAAACAACAGGGAGCTCATTTTACAACCTGAGCGTTCGTGGGAGAAAACATATCTGAAACCATTACGTCAAAGTGGTCAATTATGTTATTAATTTGTAGTTTCAGTATTAAGTCATGGTTGAGTTTAGTCACTTCAACAGATTGAGATCTGTTCGAAAGGTAGCTTTTTAGCCATTTCTGTGCTAGACCTCGTATTCCATTATTTATCACGTTTGTTTGTATCGTACTAGCGCCCAGCCTCGGCTTTGTACGGATGCACAATGCTACCGTTCCATTGAAACAATGTGGTATCAATGTAGTGATTAATAATACTATTGTAGTAGTTTAAATAGTATTGCAAAGTGCACATATTTTGTATATTTTTTTAACATTAAAATAGATATAGAAAGCTATCTGTGTAAATGCGATCGCTAACTTTTTTACAGTCCTAATAAAGAGCAACGATTCCTTTATATATTATGTTATAACATATCAGCATTTTTGATGAAAGTTCTCAGTCGACATAATTTCTTTTGACGTCTTAGACAATTATTCAACAAATTAACACAAAATAATATTAAACTATACATATAAACCTTTCTCTCGAAACATTGTATCTAATGATAAAAACAATATTAAAATCCAAACAACATGGGCATCTCTTGCCCGCCGGATGATGTGTGGGCGGGCGAGGTAGGGGCCTCGGGGTATACCCCACTACCCCGGCTTCAACTCCGGAGGCGACGACCTCCGGGTCGCTGGGTTCTTCAGCCGGCATACACTGGTGGTCTGTGTATGCCGGCGTGGTGTCTTATATTAAAATCCGTTGCGTAGTTTGAAACATCTAAGCGTACAGAGGGCGAGAAGCGACATTATTTTATACTCCGTAAAAATACAAAGTATTCTAACCGGCTGCGTAACAGGAGTAGCGGAATCGTTGCCTGCCATCCCTGTGCTCTTCCTAATATCTTCGAGTGGTATGTCCTCAGGACGCGACCTCGGGGAACTATCCCTGGATCCGTGGGTGCTGCTGTTACGCGACACGCTGCTGTAAGATTGAATAAATTAAATTAAGACTATCAAAAAATATCCGTGCAGTAATGGATGATGAATGCAAAGTAATTTCTCGTTTTTCCATCCCTATAGAATGTTGGAAGAGGTGACAAAGGAACGGAAAACACATTAGACGTATGTGAAAGACAAATAAAACCTTATACCAAGCTACCTTTAGTAAATAGGCAGTACAGTATACAAAAGTCATAAGCGCTTCTCTTTACGGGAAGAAAGGTTCGAGCCCATCAGAGGTATTTTTTTTATACAACTTAGAATGGCAAACAAGCTGACGGCCCACCTGATGGAAAGTGGTAACCGTCGCCTATAGACATGAGCAGTACTATGGACATAACAGAGTATACTGTTTCGCCCATGCATTGCCATTCCTGAGGACTCAGGTGTTATTCCTCTGTACCCAGTAAATTCACGCTATATCCCACCCTTCGAACCGAAACACAGTCATGCAAATACAACTGCTTTACGGTTGAAACACGAATGGGACAGAGGTACCCAAGCAATCGACTTTTGTACAAAGTCTCCCTCTGGTAAAAGTATGTTCATGGGTTGTTATAATATACATGTTTACGATGAGTATAACTTGTTTTAGTTAGACTATAATTTTATATGTATACGGCAGCGAATATCGTCACCGGAAATTAATAGCTAGCAATTTCAAATTACTATGTGAACTTAGCTTAAAATTATAGTCGACACGACATTGCATTGTATTGTCAGACATTTTATTACCATAGTGGTAAACACAACATTTGACTTATCCCCACTCATCAATAATAATCGATACAATATTTTTTTTTTAAGTTAAGAATTTATTACAAGAGTTAGAGACGAATCACATTCAATTGTTGCTTGTTTGTCATTCTAAGTTGTATAAAAAAAAGTATCTTGGACGTCCCTTTTACAGATTTGCAAAGTGTTACGCGAGTATTGGCGCGCACTGCGCAATAAATAGTAAGGTACGCTAAGGTATACGTATGCTATGGCTTTGTCTGAGTGGATAAAATTACTTTATACTATCTACTTCACCCTAATTCAGAATAGAATGTACGTGTACTTGTGTACTAAATACAATTTAAATCCGTTTTGTCATTTAAGCATAATCGAGTAGCAATATTTCTACAAACTTTCACATAATATTAGTAATATATATTTCCAAGACGAATAATATGTTTATTATTAGAAACTTAACGTTTTTATGAATAAATAGGTATTACATTTTTATGTGGGGGTAAGAATCTATTAGAACTTGTTGGTGTATTTAGTAATATAATAAAATCCCAATTCCATTTTTAAAATCCTAAAGTTATGTAAGCGTTGATGATTAACATTCCTGCACCAATATGAGATGATGGTCTTGAAGCGATGGAAACACTGAGCTATCGATTGGTAATGACGATAGATTTAAATACACAGACGCACTTTACTATACTTTCATGATCTATTTTTGTCAGAGATAATGCATAACATAATAATATTGTTTTATATTTTTATTTATGACTAGCGGCCCGTCCCGGCGTCGCACGGGTGGACATTTTTAACATTTCCCTTCACTGCTCTGCTCCTATTGATCGTAGCGTGATGAAAAGTATACTATAACCTGCCCAGGAGTATGAAGAATAATTGTACAAAGTTTCGTTAAAATCCGTCGAGTAGTTTTTGTTTCTATAACGAACATACAGACAGACAAAAATTTTACTGATTGCATTTTTGGCATCAGTATCGATCACTAATCACCCCCTGATAATTATTTTGGAAATATATTTCATGTACAGAATTGGATTTTCTACAGATTTATTATAAGTATAGACTATCTGTTTGCCCGTTACTTTGTACGCGTAGATTTCTGAAGCTGAAAACCCAATGAAATAGACCACTTGTAGATGACATATTAAAATAAAACACGCCAGATTTTAAGTTAGACTTTCAGGAACACAATTGTGAAAACTGCACCCAATTTGGTGCAGTAGTTTTTGCGCGATGCTGGAACAAATATATAGACAGACAAAATTTCTAAGAATTATTGTTTTGACATCTATTGCTCTTATTAAGACCCTTCATATAGATTTTTCTTAAATATCTTCTATGTACAGACATCGTCTTGTTATAATTTTATTATTAACTTTTTTTTTTATTTATAATCCATGAATAAAATAAGTATAATATATTTGTGCCAGTAGATCTATATTAGTATATATATAATAGTGCGCTACCTACCCTTTGTTTTTTTTCTTTATGTTCCCTGTCCAAAGTCTAGACGAGATTGCTTAGCGAAAAGACAGCATTTTGTATCATTTATTAAAATTTACTGTATATATATATATTTTATAAATGTCATAGTAAAGTTTAAATAGATAAATAAGTACACAAATATATCAAGATAATAATTTAGTTATCATTTAAATAATCTCCTATATAGCAAAAAAAATATATATATAAATAAATAATACAATACTCTCTAATAGCCTAACTAGTAGAAAATCGCCGAAGGAAGACACAATGCCGAAAGAAATGTAGGGCAAGAGTAATAAAGTAGAATTGTTAAACAATGCTACAAATATAAAGTATATAACAGTATTTATGGATAGGTATGGAGCTAATTGAAATGTACTGAACATAGAACCACATTTATGACGTGTACATAGATACAAAATGTCAACATAGTCGAGGACAGGAAAGTGTTATGAGAGTGTAAGCTTATTTTCGTTAGCAGTAGACATAATGTTACGTAACCTTCTCAGTGAATCCATAACTGCCAACACCTTTCTACTAATATTGTCTGACTGAGTGGACCAAGGTAGTATTCTGTCAAAGAACATTCCAATACGTTTAAAATTATTTAATACAATATTTTTGCCAATAATATTTATCCTACCTGATTCTCCACATATAGTAGGAGGTCTAGATGTTAAGGTATTGCCTGAGTTTATATTTGTATACATTTACATTTTTCAGTATTTTTAATAATATGATTAATAACCATTATATATTGTACTAACCTTTCCCGACTTGTCGTCCGTTCTCTATAAACGACGATGCCGTCTTTTAGCATGTGAGCGCTCGGTCTACGTAGTCTCCGGTCTGTGTCGTCACCATCGCTACCTATATAAGAAATAATTTTAAAACATTTTAAATATTAAATATTAATAATTACATACAATAAACAATTTTAGTGGAATATAGGGTCATTGGGAGTAGTTATATTCTTAAAAGTTGATATTCAATTCTGAGATATAAATTTTTTAAACATTTAAAATTCTCTAAAATATCTAAAATTTAAATTGGTATTTGATATCACAATTAAATCTTTATTCAAAGAAAAGAAGGATAATACAAAGTAAATTTTAAGTAAAAAAATATTATAAATTTAATTTATGATGATCCATAAAAAAATACCTCTTCGAAACGATATTAGTTTAAGAGATACGTTTAGAGAGATGGCGCTTCAGAATCGATCTCATCATTTCTACGAATATTTTTTTCAAATCTCTTTTATTATTATTATTTACATCGAAGGTCTATTATTTATATATTTTGTTACAGAACAACAATGGACGTCATTGCCCTTGTGACCACAGTAGAAATTCGACAATATTCTTTGTAGTAAATTGATAACGTAATGTAGCAATGCGTCCAGTTGCCAAGTTAGAATCGGAGGCTAAAATTTTTGTCTTCACTTATTTCATTGGTAGAACATTTTTAATTACATGCTGGTGTTATTATGTTTGTGTGCAAGCTAACCACAAGATAATACTTTAATCGTGGCAAAACCAATCATTTTGAATTAAAAACTAAAGTAGTGAACCGACTTTGATAAAAATTATATTCTAATTTGAAAGTATTATTATTATTCCAGATAAAACGAAATCCGAAGCGATTTATAAATGACGCAATTATGAGTAATAAACACAAAAAAAAAGAGAAAGTTCTTCTTTTTTTGAAGTCGGTTGTAAAATCAGATATGAATTGAGTATCCTTTTCTTATTGCAGTCTTTTAAAAATAAAACTATTTACCGGTGGAGCGTCGGACAGCGGTGAGGCCCGGTCGCGAGAATAGCGGACGATGCCGCGGCGCCATCGTCGGCGCGGATACGCCCGACACCTCCAGCAAGCGGCCGATCTGCTGCATCTTCTTTTGTCGGGATTTCGTTCGACCCTTTACATTTTATTATTAATATCAGCAATAGAACTTCTGCTATCATTATAACAGTCGTTAACTGTCCACTGCTAAAAATACCCCCCCCCCCCTCTCCTATTGAGGAGTTTTGCCAGCAGTTGCCATGCTTGGCAGGTAGATTGGCAATCGCAGTTAAATTTTGGTGATATATTATATGAGGGACGCTACTACTCATCCCTCGACTATTAAGTTCTCTTAGTCGCCTTTTACGCGCAAGGGAAGGGGAGAGATAAGATTTCTGCAGTATGCAGTAACAACTAACATTGGAAGTTTTAAGATTTATTTTCCTTTATATTATCGATTAAAGGAATTATACAAAAAGTTATTTTTGTTAGAATTTAATTGTTTTACAATATACAAATGACAGTAGTTAATTTCATATAAAACAAATTTCATAATAAGTTATATTATTACTAATATTATAATTATGAAAGTGAGTTTCATTGTTTGTAAACTTATAACGACTTAACGGCTAAACGAATCACTATGACATTTGATATACACATACTATACGGTATGTAGAAGGATATAGGTAGAGAATGATACTAGCATTAAATCCGAGTTTTGTGCCATATTTTCTTCTGATCAATAAAGTTTAAATAAAATAAACTTTATTTTTTATAAACTTTTACATACCCGAAGAACTAATCGAGGTTAATGTTTTTCTTACCTTAGTTAGTCTTTGCTTGGCCGCCATACTGCGTATGTGATCGTCAAATTTGAACTTGGCGCGAAGTAGTACGGTACGAGGGAGGGCGCCACTGGCGCCCACACGCGGCTTGTGAATGGTTAGGTGGAGGCAACGAGGATCTTCTTTGTCGCCTTGAATCTAAGTCAAAATTAACAATTCAAAAATGTTCCCCTTTTCCCACAGGATGACCTACAACGTTCGTTATACAATAGTCATAACAGGATATCTAAATTGGAAACCAGGCATTTAGTATTATTGTAACACAATGACAAAATTTAATGCACACTTTCGATAAATAATACTGTTTAGACAAGCTTTAAAAATTAATGCAAAATTTTACTAAATTACGCCTCAAGAAAAAAAAAAATATTTCAACGGAATATTAAATACAAAAGATTTTAATAATACCTACTCAATTGAAGGTTTTTTTTTTTGATAAACGAAAATGGTATGGTAACCCCGCCTGCGCTAACGGGATACGCTGGCGGAGCACCAGTGAAGGATGATAGATGAGAATGAAAACAGGCCAGTTAGCCCATCATGATGAATTCATCAGGAATTAACCATGATAGTTTTTGCAGGGAGAACCGCGAGGAGGTCTACCTGGTTGGGTATATTGCTAGCAATGGGATTCTCAGTCTCCATTACTAACAATCCCTTTCCCCCCTCAATCGAAGGTTAAGAATTTTGAAGAATAACATAAGCTTTAAATGCAAAAGATAAAAAAGTGCTTAAACTATTATCTCGTACTATTGGCGAGGCGTTATTCACACGACTATCATACGTTTTTATCCTATAATATCTAGTTGGTATTATTGATTGAAGATGTTGATATAAGAGGTATAATTTAATGTAATTATAAATTTCTTGTAAATTCACAACAAACCAAATTTTGCATAACAGATACATACCCTATCACCCAAATTAAATATTACAATTACGTGATTTTTTACAGTAATATTAGTAGAAACAAATTGCTGCTTCTTAAATTAAACGCTAGATGGCGTTGAGACCAAATGTAACACTTATATCAAAATTATTATTTCAATAGACAAGTTAATTGAAGAGAATGATATTTCAGAATGAGTGATGAGGAAAAAAACTTACTTCTAGGTCCTGCAGGCTGCCAACTAACTTCGCTATGCCCCAACCCAACCTTTGTTTATCTGGCTCAACCAATATGATCTGTATATTGTCTACAGCCAGGAACCTGTGGTGCCAAGTGCCGTCCTTCTGTATTATATCACATGATATGAGATCAGAGTCATCTGCAAATATGAAAATAGGTTTAAAGATTTATTGTCATAGTGTAAAAGTAAAATAGAATGAATAAACAGCATAATAAGGTTTATATTGAAAGAAGAGATTGATACACCAGTATTAAAGAGGCTTTTCCTATAGAATACAGAATGGGGTTCTTCAAAAAGGGCGGTAAAAACTTCAAATAGGCTACGGTAACTATACCATCAGACGGGCCGTATGCTTGTTTACCACCCTAATAGTATAAAGAAAAATATTAATATAAAATCAAGATCATTGGCATTAATCTTTTGTAGTCGGACCTTGATAGTGTAGCATTTTAACAAACTGCCTCATGCGACGGTCGCCAGTTTCAACCCCCGGAATAGAAACATTTATGAGTATGAACAGTTTGTATCAGTCTAGGTAAGTTTTTAAATATATTTATTAGTTGTCTAGTGCTCGTAGTACAAGTTTTGCTTAGTTTCGGACTAGATGGCGTTGTGTATGTCTAGTGCTATTTATTATTTACAGTTCTCATCTTATTGCACTAAAGTATTATGCTGTTCTCCCAGACGCATCTTATATATTAGTGATAAAATGGAGTACGGACATGCTATGGATTTTTACTCTAATATTATTCTGTGTAAAAAGCAATTACAGTATACAGTCAACTGTAGTTAGTCAGTGTTAACACCAAATAGTATGTAAAAATAACCTAATAAACTTACTTAGATCTAAAACATCTCCAACTTGAACGAATGGCGCCGGATTAGTTAGAGGCAGCTGGGTCTCGGGCTTTCCAGTCAACTTCAAGTAGAGGTCCCGTATTAGGAAAAATGTTCTAATTGCCCTTCTGGCTCTTTCCATCTGTTGCAAAAAAAAAAAGTTACTACTGATTAGTATTTAAAATGAGCTTAGTACTGTAATTACTCCCTTGAAACTACCCTCAATTGAGTTTTTAAACCAAGGTCGAGATAAACTTACAAATGTTTAAAAACTATTTATAAAATTTAAATAATAATAATATAATTGTCATATTTTAATAATTGTGTAATTAAAATTTCGAATCTGATGAGGTTTAAATCACCCATGCCAAGCCAGGGTCAGTGTTCTTACCGATTCAAGCTGTCGCTTCTTAAAACATCCATATTTTTGGTTTTTAATAAAAAAAAAAGAAAACATAATTATCAAAGCTTTTGATCATTATTATAATAGTAGGTTAGAATATTCCACTTATGGGCAGAGACTAATAAAAATATTTTATATCAGAATAACTTAGCATTTGTCAACCCAGCAGTGAGACATTAATATTTATTAAGGTTAGTCAATACTCACTTCACCACTAGGTAGTCGCTTGGCAAACGCTATCCCAGACATAGGGGTTCGAGTAGGTGGTAACAATATCGCTGCATCCATACACAGCCATTCAACATTCAGCGGACGCTTGCTCATTTCGCAGTACCTTTAATAAAAAACATCCCGTTTTATATTCTCCAAATGATTTTTTTAAGATAATATTGAAATGGCTGGCGACGCTATTGTTTAACGATAGCGTGATAAATACTAACGAGGAATGAAATCTCGTCACTAGGGCAACTATGGTTTCAGATTTGTGGCCTATAAAAGGTCTTTAATAACTTTTACAAGTAATTGTAGCACAACCTAGTACGTTTTTTTCTTTACAAAATGTCGTGATGGATAATTAAAAACATTTCTATACAATATAATCTAATTATATCCTTATCGTCCTCCGTGGCGCAGCGGTCAACACGCCTGCCTGCGACGTGGAGGCCCCGGGTTCGATTCCCGGCCAGGTTATGATGGAAAACGATCTTTTCCTGATTGGCCTGGGTCTTGGATGTTTATCTATATATGTATTTATTATAAATATAGTATCGTTGAGTTAGTATCCCATACCACAAGTCTCGAACTTACTTTGGGGCTAGCTCAATCTGTGTGATTTGTCCGTATATATTTATTTATTTATTATTATTTATATATAATATAATTAGATAATTATAAACTTTTATACATCTGAAAATTTATTCGATTTTTGCACACTGCCAAATTACAGGTATATTGGGTAAAATATGGTATATTGATATTCAAAACTGTGGTAATTTACAAAAGTAACTAGACAAATGCATCTCACCGTCTCCATTTATTTTTTGTCGTCATACAATTTCATACATTTGTCTTTCCTATCATATCGTAACGATAGTGTTTTGCTATAGTATACTATAAATACTTACTCATCTTCAAACATATCGAGGAATATATCATCACACTTGTAGAAGTTTCTAGCTAGTGCCGCCGCGCGGCTCCGCAACGTATCTGCTGCGGACAGGTGACGACCGCCCGCCACTCCGGACGCGCCTTGCATCGCGATACGCATTAGTGTCACGCTCAGTTCTAAGGTCACTAGGCGGACTTTTGACGCTGGAAAAGAAATTTCGTATTTTGAATTTGGAAGACAGAGAATGTCATTTAATGAAATTATTATTTCTCTACTATATATTTATTTATTATAACTAGCTGTATACTGCAGTTTTACTCGCGTAAAGTAGAAAAAAATAATCTTAAGTGGTTATTTAAAATATTGTCTATCAAAGTATCATAATCTTTAGGCAGCCGTTTAAACGTAATTCAGTAAAAAAAAAAGCCCAAATCTTTACAAATTTTTGTACTTTTATATTATATATTATTGATATATATTTGTACTCACCAGGCTTACAGCTTAAATTTGCTATCGTCATTAACTTAGAAATTAATAAAATATTAAAACTTTGCATCGAACATCTCACTGCAGGCGTAGGGGGCGTTTGCTCACTGCTTTCGTTAGATGTCGCCTCAGTCTCTATGTTGGCGGTACTTGACATAGCACCAATAATTTCCGGTTCTGGACACAAAAGTGTGTCTAACAACTCGGTGTTCACACCTACAACAAAAATAATTACAATGAAATAATTGAAATATTGATATAATTAAATAAATACATGAAGGATATCTTACCCACTAATAACCAAGGCGAGCAAAAACAAACAAAATTTCGTATTAGAATTTCGAATAAGAAAAAAATTGTAAAGTCGAGAATTAAAATAGTTAATAACTTATTTTTTTTTATATTATTATTATTTATTATACAACTCTTGATTGTAAGTTGTGTTTTAATGATTATTTTCTTTGTTTACCAAGATTACTGACATACTACAAATTGGCCATATACATGCTCATAGCTTTATAAATATAAAAATAGAATTGGATTTACCAATAATTTAGTTTTTTACACAACCTTTTTTTTATTATTAACCCTTCTTTGCATAATGGTGGAAATTTCCATCATAACATTGAATGTCCAGAAATTATGGTATATAAAAGACCAAATTCACTTTAAATTGATCGTGTCTTGGATACCTTTTTAGTGTCCATTGTAGGAAAAAAACATAGCTGTCAAATTTACTTTTTAACCACTTTTCCTTTAATTTTGAACTTGCATTATATTACCTTGATTTATTTTACCAATAAAAAAAAAAACATGCAAAGAAGGGTTAAATAAGTAAAAACATATCAATCATCATTAAAATGGTTAACATTTTTAAACTCGACTGTACTTAGAATAATTTAGATGTTAGAAAATACTAAATTTTGTGTGAGATAATATTATTATGTGATTTTAATATTTTCACAAATTTTTTTGTATAAAGAATATTAATCGAATATACAGCAACAACGTGCATACATATTTCCACAATAACGTGCAGTAGATAATCAAAGACAGAAACTATTTATTTTACTAACTACATGCTACTATATAATATTTAATTAATAATTAACTGACCTTTATTGTTTATCAATGCGAACAATAGGCACAGAGCAAACAACGCTTTGTAATCGTTTTCACTACAGTCCAACGAATCTAGAATAGTCTTTAAAAATGGCCGTTTTTCTATCTCTTTGTTTTCTCTCTCTAATATACTATCTAATGTCAACGACCTCTCCCTAGTCGTGGTAGGGGTAGCACCGAGTAATTTCTGCTTCTCTTCATCCGTTATATTATTTAGCTCCGAGCAAGTTTTACTCGAACCCGACTCTATACCGGAGTCGGGTAACGGTGAATCAGGCATATTTTCCTTAGGCGATGTCAACTCACTCGATTTCATAGAATGTATTTGAGTTACTAAATCTTCAGTCGAATCGTGAGCAATGCTGGAGGACTCGCTTATTTGAGAAGTGGACGGCAAAGAAGTAGAGACTAATTCTGGATCGAGATCACAACTCGAATGGTCCGTATCGTATCCAAACACTTTTGGCCCGCTGTATTCGGGCGTAGTGTAATCCCTCTCGTGACCAGAAGTACTTTCTAGAGCCTTCTCGAGGCTGAGCTGTGGCTTCGAAAACTCTAACTTAACATTCGATTTTGCATTACTAATGTACATTTCTAATATTTTAGTAGCACCATCTTCAAATACTGATAAGTCCGACTGCAATATGATCCACGCCAAAGCGTGGACTATAGGACCGTGTGTTATTATTAAAAATACTTGAGACAAAAGAAATAGAGAGACTACGCAAGAGACTGATGGTTTTGTCTCCTCTTCAGACTCCATTCTTCTTGGAAAATTTATTCTCCCTGGAGAGACTTCAGTGTTTTTCCCTTTCAATATCGCTTCAAGGTTTCTAGTTATAACTTCTATGCTTTGGATATGATCTCTATTGTATGGAGAGGAGGTGGCATGTCTCCTCGTAGAGTCGGAGGTTAATGAGTATATATAAAGGGGGACGAGAAGTTTGTGTAGTAAATGCTCAGTTAGAACATCATTCAGGTCAGGAATGTTGAGACAAAGAATATCGTTTATGTAGTGTAAATGGTCCAGATGTTCGGCTACTAAATCGTCCAATTTTTGTTGTGACTGATGGCTGAAAATATATTATTTTATATAAATAAAATTGGAAACATTTTTAATACCAATCTTAAAATTTTCGACTTTGGATCTTTTATTAATAATGTGTAATTCTTTTTATTAACAATAAGTTTTTAGTTCATTAATGAATAATAATTCTTTATTTTTTTTAGAGAGAAATGAATAAATGGCTTACTCAGCATCATTTCTAACACATGCGTCCAATTCCAAGATATGCTTGCCGATAAACCAGACCAAGTTACTGAAGTATGGTGCTGCAGTTCTGAGAACAATTAGTAAGTTAATGATTAATTTACATGATTTTCAAACATAACAAACAAACTGAATCAGTTTATTGCTATCAATATAAAGTAGGCGTATCTGTAAATAAAACAATTGTTATTGCCGTGTGATTTTGAAATAAAATTGGCTATCCCTTCCTTTCCCATGAGTATCATTTATAAGGGAACTTAATGCTCGAGACAGCAGGGTCCCTCTACAAATATCACCAATACCTAACAGCGGTTGCTAACTTGCCTCTAAGCGTGGTAACTATTGGCAAAACTCTTCCTATGGAGAAGGCCCATGTTCAGTAATGGACAGGTAATAGCTGATATAATAATAATAATATATTGTTAGAGTTTTAATACTGGCTGTTGACACTGAGGTTTTTTTTAGAACAATGTATTATTTTTAAATTGGTTCTATGTCAGATTTTTATAAGACATGTCTCATATTTTTTCACTAAACTTATTATTTTATATCTCAAATACCTACATATATGTTTTATTACTGCATCCTGCTATTTACAACATATATTGTATGTTTGAAAATTTTATTTCTATAGGACAAAATTTTATTTATGTAAATCACATGTAAAAATAACTATTTAAAATGTTTGTAATTAAGTTTATATAAAAATATTCTTATTCATGCTTGCATGAATATAAGTTGACTTTTACAAAATCTATATTAATATCTAAAAATATAATTTAAGATTTTTCATTGTTACCTCTTCACGTTTTAAAGGTTTTACCAATTATTATGAAATTTAGCATCAATAGAGTACTTGCGATGGAAAAGTGTGTAAGTTGCTTTCTGTCTTAGTTATTCGAACAAAGTCAAGCATAGCTATAATAGAAAATATATAAAAAAATCCAATATAAGATGAATGGAAAGTATATAAAGCATTTAGTGAGTGAATAAAACAAACATTACCTGTCTCTAATAAACCGCAACATACTAGCATCTTGCACTCTGTACACATTGAGAGTCAAGGTCCTGACAGCAATACGAACCATTGACTCTGTATGGTTGAAGAATTTTATAGCTTCTGTGTATAGAGGAAAGTCCTTAGTATGCTGTAAAAGAATGAATATGATCATACATTTTCAAATTAATGTAAAAATTGAAGCAGACTTAGCCTGTGTCCTGCTATTTATAATTAAGAAAAAAAAAAAAACAAAATATATTCATATCAATCAATCACACTTGTGTATTGCGCGAATGACAAGATGTTTGGTGGTTTGAAGGTAAAACGGAAAGATATCTGCGTTAGTAGGAACTTGCCTCCCCATACAAAACTCTCCTCCTACCAATATAGAGCACCCTATGCATAAAACATCATGCATAATACAAAATTACGATCTAAATATATACTCTTTAAGAATTTAAGAGATTATTTGTATTACGTTTTGACCCCTATTGACCTTTGTATCTTATTAACTATATTATTATTATTGGTAATTATCCTATTAGGTGTAGGTATAGATTTATTTATAAATCGAGATAATTATAAACAAGAATTATCTGTCGAGTACACAGTTGAAAAGAAACCATAAAACATATAATTATTAAATATAAATTATAATTTACCTCATTGTAGAAGAAATGTATTGTGTGGTTGTTTAGTTTAAGACTTAGAGTCTTCAAGAAAGATATGTAGTAAGCCATAACTTCTTCGTCGGAAAAGTCGAATTTGTGTACTATTATTGAATTAACATGATTATTACTCAGAAGGTAATCTGTAAAAGACATAACATTAAATATCATAAAGTTATCATTATATTTGGAAATAAAAATTATAATCTTACTTATTCATAAATACATCAAACCTGCCATAAAGCTATTTTATCTATTGAACTGTTTTATCCTTTTATTTTCGGTTAAATTCCGAATTTGAAAGAAAGTGACAATCCAGTGTAATAGTTAAAATAAAAACTTCAGGTTACAAAGTTCACTTACACTTACCTCCAAAATCACTCAACCAATTTTAATGAAATTTTGTAAATATGTATTGCTTAACTCTACACAGAGAAGAAAAGAGATCATTAATAATGGAGACTAGCAAAATCCCATTGCTACCAATATACCCTATCTTTTAATGGATGGTAATGGAATGGTAACTCCGTCTGTGCTAATGGTATATGCAGGTTGGGCACCAGTGAGAGATGATAGGTGAGAACAGAAAGGCAAGCCAGTTAGTCTATCATGATGAATTCACCTGGAATTCAGCACGATGGTTTCCAGGGGGGACCATGTGGAGGTCAACCTGGTTGAGCATATTGTTAGCAATGAGAATGGTAATCTGCATTACTAACAATCGCATCCCCCCCCAATATACCCTATCAGGTCAACCTCCATTTAGTTCCCCCTAAAAATCACCATGATTAATTTTTATTGAATTTGTCTCAATGAACCAATTGACATGCTTTCATCCTCAAGTACTGTCTTTCATTGGTAGCAATTCAAGATATGTTGATAGCACAGCCAGGGTCACAATTCCAATTTCATTTATGACAAAAAACTTGATAGATAAGAAAGTTTTTCTCTCGATAGTAAAAAATGAACATGACAGGTGGCAGTAGGAGTAAAGTAAAATTTGCCAGATCAACTAATTGTGTTCTATAAAGTACTTAGGACAATGCAGCTGTTTCAGTGCCTGAGAAATTTTGTTTGTATTTATGCAAGTCAGGAAATACCCTTTTTGCACCGTATACTTGCATAACATCAACACATTATAGCATGCAATTTTGAGCATTGCTAGTAGAGTGATAGTGTCAAGTGGCATACTCATAATATGGTTACAATGCCTAGTAATAAGGAGACAAGATAAAAGAATTCCTTACAGTAATAATTTCACTGTTTTATCAAACTGATATGAAAGTTTTAGAAATAGTTAAGTAACTGTTATATTTACATTATTCAACATGGTTGTTTAATTCAAATTGAAATACAAAAATATAATCATTAGTGAATTTTATTTCTTGTTATTTATTTAATTACTTACAAAGTGATGTTTCATTCCGTATGTTTTCAAATAAGATGTTTAATGTCTGTAACAACTGCACACAAACATAAGATGAGCCACCACATTTCTGTCTCATGATTCTCAAGAAGTAAGACAGCATGTTCTTCTCCAAGAAGAAACTGAAATTAACATTTTATTCCTGATAGAAATTGTAACATTTTATGAATTGAAAATAAGGTCCTATACTTAATAGGCATGAAATTAGAAACACCTAAACACATATAAAAAAAAAAACAAAATTTAGTATAAAAATTCTTAAATAAAGAAGTTATTAAAGAAAAATGGGTTCAATGCCTATCACTGCCTAAATTATCATTTCTTACTGAATGACACTTAACTTACCACCACTTTAAAGATAAATAGATACTCTTTATAGCTCTCTCCAAAAGTTACAAATACCATACAAGAACAGTAGAATATTAAATAGAAACAAAAGTTATAAGACACTGATCACAGTAAAAACAATGGGTATGCTTATTAAAAAATCTTTTGGGAGAAAAAAAATCAAAAAATATGAATATTATTTAAATTTCACTTGTGATTGATGAAAATGTAACTATCAAATAAGAGTCTGCAAAGTCGCTTCTATGTAGTGTAATGATTTTTTTATTTAGAAACATTATTGTGTACCTATTAACTATTTTATGTATAGAAATATATTATTACATTTAGATAGTAAATGAATTATAAATGTCATTAAACTCGTAATTGATATGTGTTCAAACAATTCCTTAATAGAAAAACTTAAGTTAACTTATTTACTTATTTTAAACTTAATTAAAAATATGCAAGAAAGTATATGTATTAATATAATTATTACTTGATAAGGAAAGAAATTTTATTATAAAGATAAAAAACAAATACAATTTAACAGGAATGTAAGAGTGCCAGCACTTATTATAATTTTAATTTAAACTAATGGACATTTAGTACCTTATTTACATTAAATTAGATGTTGTTCTACCAATTTTTACAAAAAATACTTTTGACTGTTTTAATATAATTGCATTTAAAAAGATTAATGTTTATCTTTTATTTCTTTTATATAATACTAAAATAAAAAAAGAATTAAGAAATTGAATATTTTTCATGTAAAAATATTTTATTTTATAATTCTTTTTTCTAATTTATATCCAAGTACAACACATTTAATTCTAACCAACATTCACATTTTTACTTCAAAATGTAAACATAATTAGAACTTGTTTTGTTCTTATTCTCAACAAATCACCTTCAAGCTTACATTGTGTAGATGAGTGCTTTACTTGTCTCTCTCGCTTTAACATATATGTTATGTTTTTTCTCTTTTAATGGCAATCTATATACTTTATAATCTAAGATTATTTACATATACTATATATTACACATACATATAAGGTATGTTTGTATAATATTGTACATACATACATTATGGTACTTTGTTTTGGAATATGATGAATATCCAAGATATTAATTATAGTATCAAAGTATATAATGAAATTTACAAATGTTTAGTGGGCCTCAGTTTGAGTAGTACTTTATACAATTTACTTTATTTTTACTATGTTAAATCTCATTTTTTAATGTTAAAGCTTTATTTGTAAATTGCCATAACTTTTAGGGTATATAATATTATAATACTTCAGAAATTCATTACATTTAGACAGAATATGATCATTGATACATCAAACAAACAAGCCCGAAGTGGTAATAAACTAGTATCATAAAATTATATCAAGGATACGACGTCATTCACAATAGGTATCCTAGTTACCTATAAATCTACATGTAAGTACTATTAATGATAAACTGATACTTACTCGAACACGGAACTGTCGTTTTGATCTCCCCATATTAGGATCTCTGCTATACACCTCAGGGATTCCACCAGTGTACCTCTATTACTTTCAGACACTGTCGTGTTTTTACACAAAATGTTATGTAAATATTTCAGTCTTTCGAGTGAATGGGGATTCTTGGGACGACCCCATCCACCACCAAACCAGCTACGGCTTCTAAACATGTTTTTAGCTAAGCGAGACCACGGCTATCAATGCAAACAAAACATTTTTATTCTTTTGTGGTATTGTGCATGTCGTCACTACAAAATGGTTATATTTAAATAAACATCACGATTAACACTTTTGAAGTTGTCGAAGAACACTTTTATAATGTATATTAATTTTATTTTATATACCTGTGTATCAATGAAACTCCATTTGATTTCTTTTATATATTTTTTAAGTTTCACTAGTTTACAACCATCGCAATCGCAAAGGACATTACAAATGTCTTTTTGACAGCTGACAATGGATAGCATAGATTAATCTATATACAGATTGACAGCGCTCCGCTGAGCAAATAAATTTATCTAAAAGTTGGCACTGTCTTTTCTTGGGAAAATTGGAAAATAAAATATACAGTGTTGCACGACTACGTGTAATATTCTTCTTTTCAAAATATTAATATCGACAGATATAAAAAGTCTAAAATTTTTTATTTTATACAATTGGTTGCAAAATTTTTAAACAGAGGTTTTTTGAGGAATTGTTGTAAGGGTGCCCTGCCAGTAGAATATATATCGATTCTATATATTGATAGCACAGGCGGGCTTTTTTCATTTATATGCGCATATGTAGGCGCAGAGTGCATCAGTGGATCAGTGATAATATATTCTAATTTATATTCTGTTTTTAGTGAAAAACAGAATATAAATTAGAAATACATATATACATATATACATACATACATATATATACATACACATATATATATATATATATATATATATATATATATATATATATATATATATATATATATATATATATATACTATACTATACTATACTGCACTCGCGATGGAAGCTTAAAATTGGAGTAACTTCTCTCGTTTTACCAACATTTCCCTTCACTGCTCTGTTCCTATTGATCGTAGCGTGATGAAAAGTATACTATAACCTGCCCAGGAGTATAAAGAATAATAGTAGTTTTTGTTTCTATAACGAACATATACAGACAGACAGACAAAAATTTTTGACTACTACTAATAGATACTGATTACATTTTTGCCATCAGTATTGATCACTAATCACCCCAATAATAGTTATTTTAGAAATATATTTCATGTACAGAATTGACCTCTCTACAGATTTATTATAAGTATAGAAGATAGATATAAGATATAGATTATCAAGAAACAATAATGCTGGAACTGAAGTAGGTAAGGAAATATAGAGGTAAATAAAGGTAATTGAACCATTCCATCTTCATTAAAAAAAAGTTGTTTTTGTTCATTGAAACAAAGATTTCGTTATTCCTTGTTCTTAGGTAAAACTTAAGAACAAGGGGAGAAACATACTTAATTGATAATGTCTGTCAAAAATATTAGAGTTCGCAAAATCAAGGTTCACATATCTAATTAAAATCTTAAACTTTATCTCAAAACAAAAAATTCAATTTTTATTTAATGGACCAGTAATTCCTAAAAAGAGTAAGAATTTGCGTGCAGTTAATGCAGTATTTGTTATTGATTTTTATTTCGACTTTTCATTGGTGCTGCCTCTGTTAAGCAATCGAAGAACTAAAATTACTATTACAAATTAATTACATATTTAACATTATATCGGGAATGGAGTTGTTTATCGCCAAAAAGTGCATTAACCCGTTGCGCGATTAAGAAACTATCGTGCTACCTAATAATACTACTTTATTTTTTATTTTTAGCAATCGTTTTGTAAACTCTTCACGTGTGCAGCATTTGCTCGTTGCTGTTATAGAGAAGGTCAAAGCAATTAGTATAATATGTTCAAAGAAACCTCATCATGTGATTGCGATAATCCTCTATCTGTTTTACACATGTTGTCAATAAAAATAAATAAATATTGAAATTACGGTCTTAATTATAATTATTATGATGGCTCCGCATATTATATTGTATTTTCGCTTTTCGAAACGTTAATGTATTAATAGTATAGAAAAGGTTTCTGAGGAAGGGTTTATATTTCTTTTTACTTTTATGCACGTTGGTTTTAATTAATATTTCAAATTTTAAAGGATATTTATTCTTATACATGAATCTGTATTTAATTTCTTTAAAGAATTCTAATTTAAAAGAATATTTGCTAATTCTTTAACATTAGGGATTAAGGTACGCTTCAGGAATGCTCCTCGAATCGTTTGATGCTTTTTAGCAACTACGCGTGAACTTCACGAGTCAATGTAGCCCACAAGGCAGTTCCAACACAGTTTTTTTTTTAATGGATTATAATGGAATGGTAACCCCATCGGAATACACTGGCGGAGCACCAGTGAGAGGTATTAGGTGAGGATGAAAAGGCAGGTCAGTTAGCCCATCGTGACGAATTCTTCTACAATTGTATCGTTGTGTTTGTAAATAGTCTTGCTTATTTCCTATATTGTATAATGCAAATAAAGTATACTTATTCATTCATTCATTTAACTACTTACGATGGTTTCCAGGGGGAACCGCGTGGAGATCGACCTATATTGATAGCAATGGGGACTAACCTCCCCATTACTAACAATCCCTTCTCCCTTACAGAACACTATTGGCAGTGCTTACTATTGCGTTTCTCATACCGTGGATTGAAACAGAAATTGAGACAGGTTCATCAGCTAACCTTTCCAGCAGGTCGTTAACATGTTTGCTATTTCAAGTTTCATCTATCTTCATACGTAGAGATACTTGTCTAATAATTAGGTATTAATTTTTTTATGGAGGATTTAACATGAATAATAATTTCGGTAGAACTTTAGTCTTTTTCTTTATTTTCTTGTGGTGAAAATGGAATGGCAATCCAGACTGCGTTATCGGTATAGGCTGTTGTGAAAGGTAATAGTAGCTTGTTGATAATGAACTCTGGTCAGTTGGCCCATTATGACCAATTTCCCAAGAATTAATTACGATGATTTTCAGTTACGAATTGTTATTAAGTACTATTTAATAGTTTATCAATAGTTTTATACACGAAACTTATAAATTAGAATACAGTTCATAAATTAAAAAAAAAAAATACACTGCGATATATTAAGAGCGCGTCTCGGATGAAACTTTAGTACATATTAACTTTTCCTATGTCACGACAACCCGAAAGCCGAAATTGTGGGAAAGGAAGGTATGAATCCTGTGGGGCACTTTAACGAAAAACTGATGAAATGTTTTTATTTAGATAGTAAACTTGTATTCTGATACTAAAACAGAACCCCGTGGAGGTCAAATTGAATTTGGCTTGAGGGTATATTGTTAATAATGAGACCACTAGTTCTCATTGTTCTTGATCCCCTTTTGTCTCGTTCTTATATAAACTAGATATGATAAATGTACTTATATAAGATGCTGGTAGATACAGGTGCTATAGGCGGATCCATAATTATTTTGTGAAAAAAATATGGCGGCAATAAATATTCAGCGGCATCACTACATTGAAACAAATGAATAAAACAAAAATTTGAAGATAATTCTAATTTATTTTGTTGCAGTAAATTATTTTTCCACATAATTATTGGTTTGATAACTTAAAACAGTAACACATTTCACTGTTAGTATGTACGAGTATATAAATCAATATTATTCTGATAAAGCATTCATTGATAATACAGTACCTATATATTTAATCCTTGTATTTTAAAAATATATAACTAATTATCAAAACGTACAAGACATACGCAAATATGTACCAATTATGTACTTATGCATAAATACATTTTCAGCATAGCCTTGGCTATAGTCAAATTATAATTTGGTCTACCTAAAATTTTATTGGTACTTTTATTATATTCTCCAAAGTCCGAGGAATGTGATTTGTCTAAACCAATAGATAAATTAAATATCCAAATTATCTTTATCAAAAATAAGTAGTTATTTATTGTTACACAGAACCATTAATTACATAAAGTCAAAGTTTGTATAAACTTATAAATAATTATGATCCGATGATTACAAACTTGAATATGTGTAAAGATCTATTATTATTTGCCTTTTTATTCAATTAAATACAGAATTATTATTATTATTCTTTAGACCTTTTCTCAGTACTTATCTGCGTACAGTCCATTATTTAACTTATCAGAGCACATACACCTACATTCATAATTTTCTTTTACACAGTCCATACACCTTTCTATGCCCAATTTTTTTCCTTATTCCATTTTTAAAACTTATCATTTAGTAACTTGATATATTTCATAATATATCCATACCAAATTAATCTCATCTTAAAAGTTATACTATTTTAAGCTTCACCGTAAGTACACATTTTTTAATTCCTTTCTTTATTCAATTTCTTTATTCTGCATGCTCGCTCACTTCAACACATAATTTTTCTTCCTAACTGTTATTCAACATTCTTATTCTTCTAGACTTTAGAAATGGGAACCTATCATGTCTTTGATGCTGTTCATGTCTACTGACAGGTGATTTACATTACATTCCCACAGGTGGGTCGCAGCTAGTTTGCTTGCCTTTTAAGTAATTTAGGAATAATTGCATTCATTATTGCCAATGATTCATCGTATTTTAAACAGTCACATTAACAATTCTTAATTATACTAAGTAATTTATTATTAAGTCTATATGGTAGATGCAAAATTAAATTACTTATATATTATTTTAGAAGCATAATGTATATTTTTAAAGTTTAGTATCATTAGTTAATAAAATATAGTGGAGACCTCTATCCTGCTGTGTATTTTTTGTTTATGCTATACAAGTTGTTCTGAATTTGAAATTTTATTTTTGATTTAATTGTATCACGGTTAGTGTAACTATCTAACCAAGCAACTGTTTCTTATCTATGAGTCTAACTTAATATGTTAGACCTAAATAGTCTATTAGATTAAATAAAAATCCGGTACAAATTGAATTTAGGTAAGTACATTATGTAACTACCTATTTACATGAATATATTATTACCTACCTATCTAATCGTGTTTACAATTCTTAACTTTAACAATTAAAATTTAACATTAATTAAAAATCAAGGACGGAGTGTTCATATTTTTACAAATTTGTACCTATATTAAGAACATTAATAAGTTAAATTACTAAAATAAATATAAATAATTTAATATATTAACTAGTGATAACTAGCTAGTAGGTATTGACTGAAAATACACTTCGTAAAAAACACGACAAATAATTAACTTGATTATACCTATTTATAAGTAGATTACTTAGCTAATATTATTAAAAAATATAATATCTAATAAAAATAGACGAGTATTAGATAATCACATTATTTTGCAACCAAACAAAATTAATAGTTGCTTTGCATAGTGTAATTTTTTTTTATTATTATTTAAAAATATTCATTGTTAAGGAAATTGTGTAAAATATTTATTAAAAATACATTTATATATTTTTATTCAGTTTTTCATTTTCAGAAATGCCTAGTAAAAACTTGGAAAAATCTAATGTTCGAATAATTAAAAATCTAATGTTAGAATAATTGTTACATTTATTTGCTGTCGAAAATATTTAACACCTTTGATGTCTTGGTGCTTCTATTTTTTTTATGAAATACATCTTAATTGATATAAATTTACGCTTCTATTTTAATATTGCTTTAAAAATATAGTATATCATTTCCTTATATTTTTCATGAAATTTTAACAAATTATAATTTAAAATGCTAATGAAATGTCATGATTATAATAATTTTAAGTATTAATAATATACTGGACAATACAATTTTATAATAATACATTCAAAATAAGTCTGATAATCATAACATTAACAAAACTATGTTTTCAACAATAGAGTGAAATTTAAATTTTGTCTTTGGAGTCGATTCTGGGGCGCCATTTCTTTAAACCTATCTGTAAAATAAAAAATTTAAACACGTTTTCAAATAAAATCATTGCAATTTTAGTTTATAATGACCTATAAAACAGTAATTTTGCGATATTATCAAATTAAAATATAACATGAAGTTAGTAGATAGTTCAGAAAAACGGTATTCCAGAATCGACCCCATTGCCATTCCTAGTTGTAGGTATAAAAAAACCCAATGAATACGATGTTTAAAAATGATTAAAAATTATTGATCGTTGATGTTTGAATAAAATTATTATTCTAACAGCAATTATGCAAATATTGAAAATCGTCGCTTTAAATTGAAGTATGTATTTTGTGTTCAATTTTTAGGCCAATTGAATGTATTCTACCAAAAAGATATATTCTGAATCTGCAAAGTTCTTAATTACCACAGCTCGATACGAGCCACTCATTAATTTCGTAATCGATATTTTATCGTTATCGTTGAGCAAGTTAAGGGTAGAAATTCTGAAGGGCATCCGAGTATATTGAGTTGTACGTGTCTCTTAAAACGTATACGCTATCATTAGGTTTGCCATTGAAAACATAGGGACCTTTTAGGTTGGTAACCTTCGAGTTGGTTGGAGCAGGTTTAGGTTTTGGCTTCGAATACGAGGGTGTATTATATCCTGGGCGAGGTCCTGTGGGAATCATGGGCTGTGGTCTACCATAACCGAAGTCAACAGGGGGCAACTGGGGCATTTGAGGGACTTGCGGATAACCAGCACCACCGTTCCATTGGTAGACGCCAGTGGGTTTTCCATTCGACACAAAATCTATGGGCAGATTAATGAATGGATCTGCCACCTGAGGAACACCTGGTGGAATCATAGGCCCCATAGGCGGTCCGATACTGGGAGGCTGAGACACGTAACCTAAACCAGGCACGAACATATACGGCGTGGGAGGCAGTCTGATATAGAATATCGGAGAATTATCGTACTGCAAGGAGTTTATGTTGTCATTCTGAAAGCTTTCTCCATTGCCGTTTTTCTTCTTATTTTGCTGTCGGCGTCTCGAAGGTATCGTTCGTGACAGCTCCTCCTCATCAAAATGGTCGTCGTTTACCGCAAAAGTGACATCATCATCATCATCTTCATTATAATCTAAGCCAGATGAAAGGAATGAGGGGAAATACCCGAATAGGTTAAGGGCTTTATTTTTTCTGTTACTTGGTGCTGGGGATGACGTTGTGCTATCTTCTTTGTATTTTTCTTCCAATTTACTTTGACGGTTGTTTGTCTCTTCTGGCGATATGTCAGCCTCTCGTGACCTTCTAGAGCCGGGTGCACTCTGGACGTGGCATACAAGCACCAGTAGCATAAAAACGACTGTTAAATCCATTGTGGTATCTGGAATGAAAGAAAAGAACTATTACAGAACTATTTCTACATATTAGATGAATTAAAAATAGAATTTGTTTTTGATGGAGTAAATGCCACAGATGCCATAAAATGAGCTTTATCTATTCTTGTAAGCTAAGGTTATTTTAAAACAATATTTTATATTGAGCATTTAAAAAAACTATTTTAAAGACTCTATTATAGAACGAAAAGATTAATGCCAATTGAGACATTGTTTAATCTTCACATCATTGAATTATAGTGTTTATCACACAATCCGTTGTAAGAAAGTTGAAATTTCATCCACGACCGTTCTGCTGCTCTTAATTGAATAAAAATCTTGCTCACACGAAAAATGTGTGAACATTCACATGGTTGCATAGTATGAAATATATGCTAGCACCTCTACTAAAGACGATATTACAATAGAGTTACTATAATTTTGGCAGTCTTTTTTTATATAACAAACACATAAATATACCCTTTAATCATTAAATATTTGAGTTTGAAGGAATACTAAGTTACAACATTGATAGTGGATTAGTAAGCATAACCTATAATTCTGATTAAATTATGTACATCTATCCACGTATACATACATACATATCTGTCACGCCTATCTACGTGTTAAATATATAAAAATATTTATGTCTATACTAGCTTTAACCCACGATATCGTTTGCGTGAACAGAATATGTTGGTTGATTAGAATATATAGTACCCCATAGTATGTGAATACCATATAACCATAATGATTGATTGAGTCGTTAAGACTCCAAAATGTAACAAACAAATAATAAAAAAAAAAACATTCACTTTTACATTTGTATTATTAAAAATAATAAGGATTCCTAAGTAACAAAGAATTGGAAATAAAAAAATATTTTATAATAGTTACAATAATTTTTTTCGACATTATTGGGTATTAGTCAAACATTTACTGTCTTGTTATACATAGGTATAATATGTATAGATGGCTACTAGCGTTTAAAAACAAATTTGTGTAGGCGTACCTGGATAATGTGAAATAAACGCAATATTACATCTTACAATGTGACGAAGAATGAATTATTGGATGACGTACGGGCGTGTAATACTATAAATCATCATTCACCTGCCACTAACAGAAGCGTTAAAAATGTATTATGCAGTTGAAAACGATTAGAGTAATTATTCAAAGGAGACCTACACTGTTATTATCTTTCTTTTTGTTGCATATCTGGAAATAACACATAATAGAGCAAGTTTAAATAAAAATACTGACAGTTTAGTCAGACAACCTTTGTTTGTGGTCTAGACTCTTTAAAAGTGAAGATTCGTTACTTGGTTCATGGTTGGGAGGGCAGGTAAAGTTGGTACCTACAACTCTTCGAACATGGCCAAAGTACAGTTGACAGCAGAGTGTGCCACTAACAACACGCACTCCAAATATTATAAATATTAACATATTAATCCAATTTAGGTATTTATTTTGTAAACCTATATATGTACGCTTGAAGTATAAATGTAGATATTATGTTTATTGATTTTTGGTACTAACTTTATTTTACTAGTCCGTGTCACTGAATATATATTTACTCTGAGTCTACGTTAAGATAATAAGGAGTTTCATCGGTACCTACCTTTAGGGGATAAATTTTAGAAATTCTATCATATTGTAAGAATATACTACATTATTTAACATCCTTTGAAGAGAATGTACTATTCGAAATTGAACCTTATCACTAAAGAAACACGGGTCAAAAACGACAAAAATTTTGGGTCTGCCATACGTACTAATAGGGCACGTTTAGCTGTTAATATGGGAAACTCAAAATTCTTTCTCTAAAATAAATAAAAAAATATTTCATAGCATTGGTAGTCTTAGTTTTACATACCACTTACGTTTATGTTTTCATCATGTATAACGAAGTACGTCAAATATTTTATTTCTAACTTAGAAAGGGATAATAAATTAGAATTTATTAAACTATCTATTGCATATGCAATTTATAGAAGCTTTACTATCATTTTAATCGCACCATAATCAAATCTTTCACACTTGCTCACCGGCTGCCAGGGAACTATAATTATTCACCTTTCATTACCCTGATGCGATTAAGCGCAAAGTATAAATCTGTTGATGTATTCATAAAGGATTTATGTGAAGTTTGTAGTAACACGCACATAAATGTACTGTATAGATGTACCTACCTAATTCCCAGCAAAAGGAGTTACTGTTTCCGCCAAGACGCACAGCACAGTAAGAATAATGTTTACCTATTTATTTAAGTAGATTTACATATCTATATACCTATAGCGTCTGTGTTTATAGTTGAAAAATAACAATTAATTACAAATTATTTACTTATGATAATATTTATTTATATTTTATTATACAATGATAACCCTAATAGAATAAACGAATGCGTGCAACCATACAAAGGTAATTAGATATGTGTAGAACATACATTCTCAAAGAGAGCGATATTGCCCCACAATGGGTGCTGGAGTGTCCAATAGTTGGCAATGATATGTTTTAATATTTATTTATTTTATATATAAGCTTTAATTAATTATTATTTTATAATTTTATTTAATCTTTCATCAATGTTGATGTGTTAAAAGCTGTTCTCTCCACTTTCCAATAGTTTAATAGTTAAATAAATACATACGAGTATGTGACAAATTTGTCCGACATTTTAATTTATCACTTAACTTGTAAATCTGCATGTAGATGAGAATTATATCAAGATCAAATTGACACCTTCATTTCCTTGATACTGAATAAATTAAACGTTAAATTATGTATTTCATTTGGTCTAGTAATTTGAGTTCTTCGATACATATATACGTACATTGATAAATAAAAATTAAAGAGATATCTTTTCTAAAGTCGAAATAGGCTAAATAAGTTTCTATTATAATTAGAAATTTAAGTAAATTTTGATATGTTGTTTTTTAATATTTATGTTTAAAACTAAAATTTCAGTTCAATTAAATTATTGTTCTATGGAATAAAATAAATTTATGTCAGAACTAACGGTTTCCTGCCACGTTTCCCGCGTGAATAAAAAAGTATAATAAATCTAATTTTAGGTCTATTCATACATGTCATAATTTATATAGACGTGACTAGTTATGCACTGAGTCACAAGGTGTCTATCGAGTAAACAGGATGGGTAAAAAAAGTATCGATCTGGTTACAAAGGTCTGGAACCCGACAAGGTCGGTCCTCAACCTCACCGTGGTTCATTATAACCAGCTATCTATTTCTTCGGATAAGCGTAAATTGAAAGCCTTAAGAAAGATATAATAATTAACCTTAATTACAAGCGTACATATCTTAATTGGCACAACTAGAAAAACCAATCAGTTGCAAAAAACAAAACAACTTACAGTTATATTATACACTTGTTAAAAGTAGGTATTGATTCAATTATAAATTTGTAACGCATCATATTTTAATATATAGAAGAGACATCGTAAGACTTTTGAAGAGTTTTGAATTAATATTCTCGTCGAATAATCACTGTTAAATTCTCTTTCACATTTGTAGTAAATAGATGTTTTGTCCTTTTACGTAATACACAACATCAGAATATAAACAAAAGTAAAAATTAGGTATTAAATGTATTTTTAACGATAAGGTGATGTTGGTAATGACAATCATATAATAATATAGTGGCTTCAAGTTAGTTTGAGACCTCGCCGGTAGTGTATTTTGTAAGCGTGGATTTTAGAAGTACAAAAATCAATGAAAAAGCTCACTTTTAAATGGCGTAAAATAAAACATACACTAGTATTTAAATTAGACCTTCAGGAATATAATTGTGGAAACCGAATCTAATTTCGTGTAATAGTTTTTGCATGATATCGGAACAGAGAAACAGACAGACAGAAAAATCTAAAAAATATTGTTTTGGCTTTAATTGCTTTCATTATTCCTCACATAATTTTTTCTAATATCTCCCGTGTACACATACCGTCAATTTACATTTTTATTATATTGATATGATTGATGAAGATTATAAGAAAAACGAATTGAAAATCTTCTCGATTCGAAATCAATTAAAATCGACTTTAATATACCATAAAATGTGACATTATAGCGGCCCGGACATACGAGTAGATTCATTTATATGTAAACGAATGAATGATTATTGGCTTACACATTATTTGTTACTATAGGGGAATAAAGCAAGCGATCTCATCTCTGATCATTATACTTTTGTAGGGCTTCATCTTATATGTACGAAAGTGTATTTTCCATTTTTTATCTATATATTATATATTAGTATTTCGGTCTAAAATTATATTATCCAAAATAAATAAATATGTTGTCTGGAGTTACAAAGTTAACTGACCTCATTGAAGTAATTCTTCCATTTCATAACAATATGTGTTATTATTTTCCGTTATTATATCACTAGAGCAGAAACTTTTTGGTGAGTAAATTGGCTTCTCAATTTGTGAGGTGTCATTTTAGTTTATATGTATTTATAGTATGACTAATTTTATACTTCATTACCAACAAATGCATTGCACCATTGAATTTATAAATTCATCAATATTCTGATATTTAATATACTTAGTCACGTTATTTATTAATTAAATCGACCCAAAATGTTTTATTACTTAAATGTACATTGGTTATGGAAAGTATTATAAACTGTATAATCGCTTTTATCGTTTGATCTATTATTTGAACAAAAGCGTCCCCTACTGGCTGTGTGGTCTCGGCATAGTGTGGGTCATAGCTTCCTTTTCCTTGGCTATCGTAAGAGGCCAGAAAGAAAGGGAGAAGGATGGGCAGTAGCGTCCTTCTTCAAACATCTCTAAAGCCTAACTGTGGTTGCCGATCCACCTGCCAAGTGTGGCATCTACTGGCAAAACTCTCAAGGAGGAGGCTTATGTTCAGCAGTGTAAGTTAAAGTCTGATATGGTGATGATGATGAAGCGTCCCCTATAGATAATTACAAATAATGGACCCCACCTGAATTCGAACTCATCTAAAGTACTTTATAAAT